AAAACCATGCAACCTCATTTTGATATTAAGGAAAGAAAAGGGGAGGGGAGATAAGGACAGAACAGAAACATCAGATAATGTCACCTTCCACAAATAACTAAACTTTTCTGAGCTAAATGTTACTTCAGTGTTATCCAACTGCTACAAATGCCATTCGACGGACGCACTCGATTTTCAGTCAAGTGCAACAGCGAAGGGCAGAAACTGGGGAGTCAGACCACTTAGGCTCAGACCTCAAGGCTTGCACTTACGAACCCCGAGACCTTAGGAGAGTACTCAGTTCCGCCGTCCTGTGTGCTCAGTCCACGGTGGGGAGGACCACGGTCCCCACCTTGCAGGGCTGCTGTTCGGACCGAAGGAGGCAGCACGTGTAGAAAAGCACAGCGCCTGCACACACTGGCAATGTGTGACCGATTCCCTTTTGGTTATCTCTCGGGTTATGACCGCCATCATCACCACCACACCCTGGCCCGGTCCAGTGAACACCCCTTTACCTGCCTGAGCATAACACCCAGAGTCGTTCTGCCCTGTGGCCCCACGAAGCCATAGGAAGAAAAGCAATATACAGAGAAACACTGACCACCCTTCAATGAGGCTTCTTGTCTTGAGCAATTTAAAAAGTATCCTCTTCTTCCAAGTGCTCCTCACGAATCTGTAGCAGGAATGTCCCCATGGAAGAGCGCCTGGCAAACCTCAGAAGTCCATCCGCGCACGGGCCTGGCAGAGCAGCCCAGAGACAAAGGACACGACTCTGACTCTGACGGGCACCGGCACTTTAGGGAAGGGCCACGCCTCAAATTCATGGAATGAGACTGAAAGGGCCGACACAAATCCAGTTGCTTAAGGATGATGTTAGAAACAACAATTCTGGTGAATCGGGTTTATGAAAGCAGAGACATATACAATGAATAACTCTGAAAAATAAACTCCGGTTGTCTGAAAACCCGAATGGAACAAATTTAATTTCCCAATTAGGTCAAATAAAGAAGCTATGAGGAGAAAATCGACAGGTTGAGAGAAAAACTGGTGGACACGGTGGCAGTGAGTCCAGCCGCCCAGACCCCACAGGCTGGGACCCGACAGGGGCAGAAGTGGCGGCTCGAAGCAGCCAGAACAATGAAGAGGGACGACCCCTGGTCCAGGAACATGCGATGAACAGGGAACCCGACAGACCATGGCCACACCCCTCAGGGTCTCGGGAGCAAGGATCCCCTTCACCAAAAATTGAATAGAGTGGCAAGAGCACTGCAGCACAAAGTGATACATGACACCTAAGTGACTGCTACCACCTGCTTTAACAAGGCTCGTTCCTTCTACTTTGGGAGGAAGTTGGGTGACCCAAAAGTCAACAAGTGTGCCTAACGTTACAAGGCCGAGAGCAAAAGGGAACAGTTCCGCTTTGAAGATGGTTCCTGAACTCTCCATCTTGCTCTTCTGCACCTTCATGTCTCCCAGTCCATTCTCTGCTGTCCAGCCAAACGGTCAACTCAAATGCAGACCACATGACTAAACAATAAAAGCTAACGCTTACCGTGTCCTTAAGTGTCAAGCACTGTGCTACGTAACTTGTACGATTTCATTTCATTGCCACAGCAATGCCTTTTACAATGGAGAAATCGAAGACGAACAGGTTACAGAACCTGCCCAGGGCCACAGACAGTCTGTGCTGCAGCCGGGACGTGAACCGCGACGTGAACCTGGCCTTCCCATTCCAAATGCCTGCCCTGCCTCTGCGACAACCTGGGTACGAAGCACACAGATGCAACAAACCTTCGGCACAACTATAACCTCTTAAAACTTACTTTCTCTTCCCCTGAGCTACTGAAAGAATCCCACCGGCCACGTGGGGCCTCTCCTCCCGCCACAGCACCCTCAGGACTGCAGAGAGGGTTACCTTTCCACAACCGCGCTGACCACATCACCTTTCAGTCACTCGGCATTCACTTAATGCCTGAATGGTATGTATGTGTCCTTCTTCCCAGGTGGACTGTAAACGACTTTGAAAAAACTTTTATTAATCTTTTCAGTTTAGACTAATATATTGTTTGATAAATTACTGATGTAGCAAAATTCAATCCTAAAGCTTTAAACAGACTTCCAAACTCATCCACCTCTTCACAACCCAGGCCTCTGTTCCAGGTTTTGACCCTTAAATATACTAACTGCTGCTCTGGCTGGTGTGGCTCAGTGGTTGAGCACTGGCCTACGAATCAAAGGGTCGCTGGTTCGATTCCTAGTCAGGGAACATGCCGGGTTGCAGCCCAGGTCCGCACCAGGGGATGCGCAAGAGGCAACCACACACTGATGTTCCTCTCCCTCTTTCTCCCTTCCCTTCTAAAAAAATAAAATAAATAAAATCTTTTAAATATACTAACTGCTGATTACCATTTATGACAGCAATTGAACAAACACTGCTAAGAACATATATTACCATATTGAATCCCAACGATCGCAGAAAGTGGGCATTTTTCCCCTCCCTCACAGAGAAGAAATGAGAAGTTCAGAGAAGTGATCTACCCTTGAGCAAGTTTCAGAACTGAGGATGGATGATTCTAAGTCCTTGCACGTGCGTGGTTACCCTGGCTCTGCCTCCTGCGGGTCTCCCATCTCCCCCTGGACACAGAAGAACCGCCTTCCCAGTTCCTCAGATACCAGGGGCCTTGCTGCTCTCTGGGTCCTCGGCCGACACAGCAGTCTGGTGTCACGTTCGACCTGCTCCTCTAGCAGGCTCTGGCTGGGTTACCCCCAGGAGGTCAGCGCAGGCGTCTCTCTGGAGAGCGTTTCCCCTGGCACCTACAGCCGACCAGGGCAGTGCAATCCACCCCCACAGCCCGTGGCTCTCAGGCTGTGGTCCCCAAGAAGCTCTGTGAGGTCCCCAGAGTAGAAATCAGTTTCATAACCACTGTAAGGGCTGCAGCAGAGACCACATGGCCCACAAAGCTGAAAATGTTTGCTATCTAATCCCTTACGGAAAAATTTGGCCGACCCCTACTTCAGGGCATGAACTTTTAAAAAAACAATGCTGACAATTCTTTTTAAAATTACATTGTACTTTTCACCAAAATACACTTTTTAAAAAAAGGAACTTTGTAATGAAAACACTTGGAAGCCTTCAAAGCAAATCCTGAAAATAAACAGATACAATCCCATAGGAGATTTATGGTCCAGCTCTTCCCCCTCATGCCTTGATTTTTGTAATGCTTTATCCAGGGCCACCACCAAAGCCAGATGTCCAGAAACAGACGACTGCTGCCGGCCATGAACGGACAGCTGATACACATGAAACAAACGCCTTCAGTCGGTGGGACAATGGGACAATGAGCGGGGCAGAACTATGATTCCTGCAACCAGCAAGTCCAGTCCTGTGATCGCCCTACTCTTTGTGCCAGGGAAGAGGAAATTTGGGAGAGCACAGATCTTGAAGGTCTGAGGAGCCACCAGCTGGAGTTCAAGAGGCTGAAGCACCAGGGTTTTTGAACCAGAGCCCCGGAAGGGAGCTATGCAGAGAAAAGCGCAGGGCAGGAAGCTGCACAGGGACCCCCTGGGCCTGAGGCTGAGGGCGAAGCTGCTGAGGAACACGCTGGGAGCTGGAAGGCCAACGAGCCTCCGAATTCACACGCACTGGAAGACGTTCAGATTCCATCCAGCAGAGCAGAGCTCTCACAGAACCCTCTGGAAAATCAACAGAGACTCCATAAAGGCCAAGCTCTGTCTAACAAGGTTACGGTAAACTAGCCCTACAGTAAACCTGCACTAGACACGCCCAGCAGTTTACAACAAGCCTGGAGAGGATCAGCCCCATCTATAGACAACTGCCCACCAAAACGAACGTCAAAACTACTTAAAGGAGACAACAAAACCCAAACAGGCAGCAACATAATGCGCAGCAGTGACAGGCGGAGACGGCAGAAGCAGCAGACAAGGATATGAAAACAGCCGTGTAAGCAGGCTCCATACTCAAGAATAGAGAAGATAACATGAACACAATGAAGAGAGAAATAAGATTCCATTTCACTCTTTCTTATATCTTCTACAGCTGAAAAACCCACCACCTGAAATGAAAAATTCACTGAATAGGCGTAACAGCAGATTAAACATTGCAGAAAACAAGACTAGTGAATTTGAAGACACAGCAATGGACACTATTCAAATTTAAGTCAGAAAAAAGACGAGGAGAAGAATCAACCAAGCTTCACTGACATATGGGACATAATCAGACAGTATAATAAACATGTAATTAGCATCCCAGAAGGAGAGGAGGGGGGAAAATAGAAAAAGTATGTGAAGAAACAAGAGCAGAAATTTCCCCCGATTTGATCGGAACTGGAAGCCCACACATCCATGAAGCCCAAAGAACACCAGACATAACAAAGAAACTCACACCAAGGTGCATATGTCACAATCAAATTACAAACACCAATGATATTAAAAAGGAAAACAGAAAGATAATGTTCCTCCCCTGCCTCTCTATAAAATATCTGATAACAACAACTCCAATCCAAAGGAAGCAACTAACATCTTTCTAGATGCTCTGATCCAAAACTCTGGCCAAGTTCATCAAAGGCCTTCCTTCGCCAGTGGTGCCAGCGGTGCCAGCAGCACAGGCTGAGTCTGTGCATAAGGCAATCGGCACAAAAACAAAACACAGCTGAGCTGCCGGATTTATCAAACGCATCTGTATGTTGTAAACTCCACAAACGCCACACACATTTGATCATGTGTTCCTTGAGGTCAGGAACTGCCACGTTTTGACCCACAGATTCCCAGTGCAGTTTCTAGTGGCACCTAACTGAACACACGTGCACCAGCCGGTCTCACTTCATCCTCACGTATCACCCAAGGATGTGTGGAACGAGAGGAGAAACCAACGTCCAGAGGGAACGAATGACTGTCCCAGGGATGCACACGGGCTGAGCAGGGTCTCGCGTCCCCGGAGTAGCGCCACCACACTGGCTACTGCAACACAGACACGAAAGAAATACAGTTTCATTCTTACTTACTCTGAGTTTCCACGAGGTCCAGAGCAACACTAGAAGCTGTGTCCATTCCGGTGTTGATGCAGTTCTGGAAGTTTTTTAGGGAAGAGAGAGCAGATTCTATACCGCTGAAGGATATAAAACCAGTTGAACCTGAATTTGAACTGGAACGTCCAGGCATCTTGAAATTATGACCTAAGTTTTCAAACACAATGAAACAAAATTTATGAGTCAGAATAACTGCACGAGAAAATAAAACTGCTGTAAAACGTCCATATGAATGTATCCAATACCCCGCAGGGGCCATCCTGTTATGTACATTCCACGTCCCTTTCAGAGGATGCCAAAGCGCTGTGCCGTTGACTGGGCCACCAACACAATGAGCTTAATGAATGAAAGGGTAACGAACTATATTCACTTTTAAAAAACAAATTTTATTTTTTATTTTTAGAGAGAGGGGAAGGGCAGGAGAAAGAAAGGGAAAGAAACATCAATGTGCAATAGATATATTGATGGACTGCCCTTTGAACACCCCCAACTGGGGACTCAGCCAGCAACCCAGGCATGGGCCCTGACTGGGAATCGAACAGGCAACCTCTGGGTGCACAGGCCAGCACCCAATCCACTGAGCCACACCAGCCAGAGCTGTTTTCACTTTTTAAAGGAAAAAGAAGACTCTCTTCCAAAGAAGTCCTTGATTCTCTGAACTGAACAAAAGTACAATTCTTAGAAACTTAAAACATAAATAAATGGGTCAGAAAAAGTAGACTGCTCATTTGATTCACTTCTAAAAAATAAAAATAATATAGCTTCACTGCACCACAAATCGGGGCTTCCTGTTGGCACTGAACTAGCACCAACAACCATCAGCGGACAGGGGCTTCAGTGCGGGATAAAGCACCAATCCAGTTGGTCCTGGGGTGGTCAACAGGCCTTGCAGCTTTGTCTGTCTTTTTTAACTTATCTTGAAGATCAAGACCTCAAGTAAACAGGGCAGAATGTTACAGAGGTTAAATCCAAATGATGGCACCAGATTCTTGGTATGTCACTTTCCAGAATTTTCTGAGGTGTTAATTTTACACCAAAAGAAAGAGAAAATATGATTATGAACAACCAATGATGACTTTTGAATACTGGCATTTTGGCAAGAGCGTTACATGCAATCTCACTCCATCACAACAAACAAACTGAGACAGCTTATATGATATAAATACAAAAACACACAGTAAGATGGGAAAATATGAGTTCACAAAAATCTGAATCAAAGAACAGATGGAAGAGAAGAGAAAGCAGGTGAGAACGTGGGAATGCAGCCACCGGCTCTAGGGCTCTTCAGGGCCCTACACGGCATGACTGTAACCCGGGGTTGGCTGCGAGCGTCCCGGCAGTGACACAGGCCCCTTTTATTGCAGAACCACAAGCATGCGATTCTATCACATGACAACATCACGTGCAAGCACACCACATGACATTTTAGGTGAAGTGTTCAAATTAAAACTATAAATTATTACACCCATTTTACTACCCTACCAACCAAACTCACATAGGCATTACTCCTGCTGGACCCTGTACAAATGGCCAATAGAGACATGACAAGATCGAGAAATTGACATCAAAACCACAATGAGATACCACCTCCCACCTGTCAGAATGACTAGCAACAAGGCAAGAAATAACGAGTGTCAGAGAGGTTGTGGAGAAAAAGAACCCTCATTCACTGCTGGCGGAAACTTAAATCGATACAGCCACTACGAAAAAGTCATGGAGGGCCCTCAAAAAATAAAGAACAGAGCTACCACATGACGCGGAAAGCTGTCTTCTGGGTATGCACACCAAAACTTTTAAAACTTTTATTCGTAAAGATCTACGCAGCCCTGTGTTCACTGCAGCATTATTCACGGCGGCCACGACATGGTGACAACCCAAGTGCCCTTTGAAGGATGGATGCGTAAAGGAGACGGAAGGAACTCCTTGTGAGCACAGCCACAGGAAAGACAAAACACTGCCGCTTGTGACGACGTGGATGGACCTTCAGAAAACATCATGTTAAGTGAAGTCAGACAGAAAAAGTCAAAAACCATATGATTACACTCACGTGTCCAACTGAAAGCAACAAATGAACAGACAGGCAAACGGAAGCTCAGACCTGACAACAGTGTGGTGGTCACCAGAGGGAAGGGGGGGTGAGCGGGTAAACCAGGGTCCAGTGGGCCGCATGCAGGGCCCAGCACAAATAATGCCCCTTCTCTCAATCACAAAATCTTTTTTTACAAAATCACAAGCATGCAATTCTGTAACATAACTTAGCTTGAGTAGCACACTCAAGCACACCATGGGACATTTTCAGTGAGATGTTCAAATTAAACGATAAATTATTTAGACCCATAGTACTACCCTACCAACCACATTGACACAGGCCTAAGTTACTTCTGCTGGGCCCTGCACATGGTGACAGAGGACCACCTGCGTGGTATACACACAGTGCAGTACACAGATGACGTATTACAGAAGCACACACTTGAAAACTACATGATTTTATTAACCACATTGCCCCAATAAATTTAATCATTTTTTTAAAAAGTGCAAGTCACAGGATTCTCCTTCTCCATAAAGAAAGAGCACACTGGGAATTCAGGGGAAAGGCAGCTGTCTGTGGCGATCAAAGCAGCAGGGACCATCAAGTGTGAGGCAGTAAGGGTCACACTGGAAAGCATCCCAATAACATCCTTACAATAAACCTAACAGTAAGCCTCCTGGGACTGCTCCTTAGATTCCTCTTCAGGGTAACATCTGCCGCCGATAGCAGCGCGGGGCCCACCAAACCCACAACCTCTTCACCCTGGGCATACAGCTTGACCACAGTTAGCAGCCCTCCTTGCAGCTGGGCGTGGCCATGTGACTCAATGCAAGGAACTGATACATAAGCCATTTCCAGGTCCAGTTCATAGAAACCACACACCTTCTCCAGGCCCCTTCCCATGTTGACAGCTTGAAGGAGGCAAGAAGTGGCCTCAGAAGCCATATACTGAAGATGGAGAACCACTACTTGGGCAAAGCCTAGGACCACTGTTTGGAGGAAAACTGCCCTCTAACCAGGCTCAGCACATGAAAGAAACGAACACTTCAACTGTGCAAAGCCACTTATATTTGAGGGTTTACCCAAGTAATACAATCCTGCACAGATGAAATAACATGGGTCAACGATTCCGTTTTCTAGTCAGTGTTGATTCTAAATCGTTTAGACCACTGCTGCCCAACGGAACTTTCGGTTGTGATAAAATCTTCTCTAATCTCGCTATCCGATATGGTGGCCACAGGCACATGGGCTATTCATTACCTGAAACATGATTAGCACGACTGAGGAACTGAGTTTTTAACTTTAATCACTTTAATTTTAGATAGCCACGTGTGCGTAGCGGCTGCTGCACTGTGAGCATAGTTCTAGAGGCGCAATTATCGAAGTGTCCTGCACAGATGACCCACATGGGGTAAGGCCACAGTATAAACAAAGAGTATCTTCCTGCAATACCAACTTTCCTTAAAGGTAACATGAAACATGTTTACCATCAAATAAACATCAGCTGCATCATGGAGGAGACTATGGAGGCAATACAGAGTTAAGCACGTAGCCTCAGGAGCCAGACTACCCAAGTTCGAAGCCTGATTTTGCTGCTTATGCAGCTGAATGACTGTAGGCAAATTAGTTAGGTTCTCAAGGCTTACTTTTCCCTTCTGTAAACGAGGGATGATCTACTGCCCACGTCTAGGATTACTGCAAGGACTGGATGAGTATAATATACATATAACAAAACACTCAGAATAAACCCTAGTGCATAGATCTTTTCAAATGGGAACAGATAATACCATCCACTTCATCATTACAATACTGTGAGTGGCAGCGAAAACATGAAGTAGTGCTTAAGGGAATGGACAGCAGACACAGGTGCCTGGGAATTCCATCCTGGCACGCCAGGTAAAGCTGCACAGCCCTGCTCAAGTTGCTTATCTTCTCTACCTGCACTTTGCTCTTGTCGATAAAGCAGGAAATCACATCTATCTTAGTATTATTAAGGATAAATTCAATATTGTGGTTTTCTCAAACTTCTCTGATCTTAATCAGTGGAAATACTAAAATTATAGATTTATGGATACTACCCCAGACCTAGAGAATCAGAGTCTCTAGTGGACACACTGAGAAAACTGTATTTTCATGATCCCCCCACCCAAGGATTCTTAGGATTAAAAAGTATGGAGAACACTGAGATAACTGTGCCCCCCCCCCAATTCCTATGTTGAGGTCCTGATACTCAATGTGATAGTGTTTGGAGTGGAGAACTTTGGGAGAGAATCAGGTTTAGATGAGGTCACTAGGATGCACTCCCATTCATATTCTCTCTCTCTCTCTCCCCACTCTCTGCCCCTCCCATCTAAGGACACAGCAGGAAGGCAGAAGGATGCAAGCCAGAAAGAGAGCCCTCGCCAGGATCCAACCATGCCAACATCTTGTCTCCAAAAACTGTGAGAAATAATTTTCTGTTAAGCTACCAGTCTCTGGTGTTGTTTTTTAAATAGTAGACCAAGCTAAGGCACAATGTATGTAAGAATTAATACAATTCAGGATAAATGGAAAGTATGAATGCAAAATTCACATTACTCCCATAAAACTTCATGCTTGCAGAGAGTTAGGGAAGACTTTCTCCTGTAATTCTGGAGTATCTCAAAGGAAACGACTCCTAATGGGAAGCAAAGAGAAGGGGTGCAGCAGAAAAATGGGGTAGACACTCTTCCCCATTCCTCCCATGAAGGGAAGCTAACTACATAAGTCACAGGACAGCCCCCAAAGTGTTACCTGGCCCCAGTGACAACTGTGCAGTGGTTGAGAAACCCTCATTTAAACAACCTCCTCCTGGAGCCTTCCCCAGGTAACAACAGTCTTTTTGGTCCCTGTGCCGATGCTCTTCCAGAAAGTTTAAAATAAGGTTACACCTGTCCTGACTTTTTCCCCAGTATGTATTGTGTGCCTCCCCTAACAGTCCCTGTCTTAGGCTATTCTGAAGGCTATAACAAAACACCAGACTAGGTAGCTTATAAGCAACAGAAATTTATTTCTCACAGTTCTGGAGTCTGGGAAGTCCAAGATCAAGGTGCCAGCTTGGTCCAGTTCAGGTGAAGGCCCTTCCTGGTTCATGTCCCAAGCCTTCTAGCTGTCACTGTAGAAGGGACAGGCAGGCTCTCTGGAGTCTCTTTTATGAAGGCATTAAGCCCATCCAAGAGCTCCACCTTCCTGACCTAAGCACTACCCAAAGGTCCCACCTAATAACACCACCCTGGCATTAGGGTTTCAACTTCTGAATGGGCGATGGAACCCAAACATTCAGACCCTGGCAGGTCTAAAAGACTCTGCAGCCAGAACCAACTATCAGCTGATATAAAAATACTTCTCTCCTGTTCCCTCCTCTCATCTTTCTGTACAGCTCAGCGGTGGGCAGGAAAAAAGTGTACAGACAGTGTGCTGGCCTCCTTTAAATCCCTGGGGGCCTGTGTGAGTTTAACCAGAACTATGTCTCAAGAGCAAGGATACATCTTTCTTTTTGAAGCCTTCCCTTATCCATACCAGCAATTGCTTTGTTCCCTGACTCATGTTACCACTGTCCCTACCAGTCACATTCACGCTCACACACACACACACATTCACTAAAACTCATCATAATTATTGCTTACACGGCCACCACTCCGCCACCTTGGGAAGCAACTTAAACTAGCACTCTGAAATATCCTACAGCATATAAGACAGTTCGCACTAAAAGAGCGATCGATAAAGATTTGGAGACAGTAAAAACAGCAAGCACCTCTTCTAGGTCCCCTCCAGGGCGCCATAAGCTGGTGCCCGGGCGCTTCCTTCTCATCATCTCATCCTCGCAAACATGTAAACATGTACGTGAAAGAAAAGGACCCTGAGGCCCAGAGTATAAGCTGGTGCCCGGGCGCTTCCTTCTCATCATCTCATCCTCGCAAACATGTAAACATGTACGTGAAAGAAAAGGACCCTGAGGCCCAGAGAGTATGTCCAAACGACCTGTCCGAGGGCCCAGTTTAAAACCAGATATACTGGGATCAAGAGTGCGTGATCTCTTCCCCACACGCGCACGGCTCAGGGAGGGAGACATGGGGTCTCCGAGGAGGAGGTAAATCGCCGCAGCCTCAAAGCTGCGGCGTGAAAAGAATCGGGACCTTCGCCCAGGTCAACAGACCCAGCCCAGGAGGCCCTCGGAGTGCCCGAGAGGGACGCGCCCCTCCCGCCGCGCGCCCCGGCGCCGAGGCCCGCAGCCGCCTCACCTGCCGCCCGACCCAGCTCCGTCCGGCCGCTCCGAGACTTCCTACCGTCGGACCGCCGCTCCCTCCTCAACTCAGTTCCCTAGTGGCTGAAACGGAGAGCGCGGGCTCAAACGTCATCAGCTGTCGCCCGCCAGTGGTCACATGACGCCCCGCCCTGCTTGACGCCCCGCCCTGCTTGACGCCCCTCGGTCACGTTACCGCCCGGAGAGCCCGGGGCGGAAGTTGGGGTCCAGCTGGCTCCAGGTTGCGGGCTGAGAGTGGAAAGGACCCCTGCGGAGAGGCAGGAGTGCGGAGCCCGGTGCCGACTCCGCGCGCGACTGACGGCCCCGTGGCGCGCGCTGGGTGACAGGTGAGTTGGGCGAGGTGCACGCGCCCCTCCTTTCACGTCCCCCTTCCCCTCCCGGCCCGCGCTGGCCGAGGGGACATCTGTGGCGTGGGATGTGGTCTGGATGGGAGAGCCTTGCATGGAGGACAGAGGGCCTCCTGGGGCGGGGGCTGCAGCCCAGGCGCTTCTCCTGCACTTAGATGGACCTAATTTTCCACGCCGCTCTGGCGTTTTAGGAAGGTTCAGCGGCTTGGCCCGCGTCTGAACCTTCCATGGTTTCGGAAGCAATGCTGTGTGGACGTTGCCATTCCTCCATTTACTCTACGGAAAACTGAGTGGTTAGTGAGTGTTTTTTATAGTCTGACGGGCCCGGGTGTGAATTCTATTTCTGCCATGGTCTGTGAATTTGGACAAGTCGTTGTTCCTCTCTGCACCTTAATTCGCTCATTGGTAACATGCTGGACCGGAGTCTTTTGCAATTCGCAAACAAATGTTTTTGAGGATTCGGATTTGTGGATGGTGTTACAGTAAAAAACAAACAAAAAACCTTCCAGAGCCCACAGTGGAACCTAGCCTCCTGTTTCTGAATGCACAGAGCTCCCTGCGTGACAGGTGAGGGGGTGAGGGGGGTGGGGCCAGGGAGACAGAGGTTTTACTTCCTCTGCCCACAATAAGGAACAAACACCTTCCCTTCTTCCTTCTGTCTTTTCCAGGATTTGTGAATCGGGGTAGAGTGATCACGCTGATTTCAGAATTTTTCTGAAAAGAGAAATTCGTGTCACTTTTATCTTGATCAACAACCATTCCTTTTTTTTTTTTTTAATTTTTTTTTTTGCCTGATAGTGGATTGGTGGAGACCAGTACTGCCTTCTCTGTGGAACTGAGGTTTTATGACAAGATAAAAATAGACCAATCTTTTGTTGTTCTCTGAGTAGGGTCCACAGTGGTGTGTCCCAAGACAATTTAATATCCCTCAGAGTTGAGTTCTGTATTCATTCATTGGGCAATTGATAAGATGATGCCGTGCTTTGCTCTTGAAAGCAGGTTGTCTTTTGCCTAGGGTCATGCTCCCAAACTGAAAACACAGTTTCATACCTAATTCCTAAAGATAAAATATCAATTACTTTTCTGGGTACCTTGTAAAAGACAATTAGGAAATCTGGGGGGATCTCTGGTTTCATTTCACACCAAATAGTAATACAGTCTATACTGGAATTTTCTTCATTCCTGGCACCATTAGAACCACATGGAAGACTTAATATAACTTCTGCTACAGTGTTTATTTGCATATCATTCTACAGTGATTTTTTTCTTAAAGCTCAACTAAATCTTAACACCTTCTCTAAAGCCACCTCTATCTGAGTTCACTGCAACATGGTTGGGCATCTTTAATGATGGTCTTAAATTCTGTTCTTTAGAGCCAGTTTTTCAGCCAATAATCGGGTATTTACCAAATACTCTAACCAAATAATATTTTGAACATTGACTACAGCGTAACTCTTGGGTAAGGATTTAAGGATTAAAATAAAAGTTGCACACACAAAAGTCTTGACTTAAGTCATTGCCCCAGGGCTAAGGCAACCTGACCATGTGCACACAGGAGCTGAGCGTTTCAGTCCATCTTTAAGGGGTTAAGAAGAAGCCTGGTAATGTTGTGTTCTCCATGGCACCCTTCGCCATTCTGTGTTACTATCCAAACCTGGTGGCAGTTAAATTTGTTCATCACAGTTTGCCTTCCAGGTCGAGTCTGGAGTTTCTTGCTGCTGAAACCTGGGTTAGTTTGGTGGTCTTCAGAGAAGCTCAGTAGGTGCCATTTTGCCCATTATTTGCTATTTTTCCCCTTTCTATGTCTCATTTCCCAAGCCAGGCTATACTAGTGGCTTAACAAGCAAGCATCTAGAGAGAACTGGACGGACTTGTTAATTATGCCTTCATGTGTGTTGCCAGATGCTGTCATGGGAGAGCGTTCTAGACAACTGCAGTGGCTTCTCAGCCACCTTGGACCCAACCCCATCTGCCTGCCCTGATTTCTGCTGCTAACCCTTGCTCACTCTGCAGTAGCCACCTGAGCCAATCCCTGAAATTCTTCTAGCACATTCCTGCCCCAGGGCCTTTGCACTTACTTTATCAACTTCTACCTGGAATGCCTTTTTCCCAGATTATTATGTCTCGTAAAGAAAAGAGAAACTACTCCAAAATCTAGTGGCCTAAGACAATAAATATCTGTTACCTTGTGGTCGTTTCTGTGGTCAGGAATCGGGTGTGGCTCAGCTGGGTGCCTTTAGGTCAGGGTGTTTTGGCAGGTGACAGTCTGTGAACAGGAGCTGTTGTCCCATCTGAAGACTCGAATGGACTCGGGATCCATTTCTAAGCTCACTGGACAGGTCATTGGCTGGCCTCTCAGACCCTTGTCACATGGGCTCCTGCACAGGGTCCTCCTGCAAAATGACAACCTTCCCCCAGACAAACCAGCCAGAGAGGGTACCCAAGCTCCGAGTCACAGTCTAATTGTAATCTGACCTCAGAAGTGATACCTTTCAGTCTTCCATCCTCCGTTCTTTAGAAGGGAGTCAGGAAGTCATACCCCAGAGAAGGGGCCTGCACCGGTCATGAATAAAGAGGCAGAGGTCATTGAGGACCAACTTAGAGGCTGCTGACCACTTGCTGCTGACCACTCAGATACCCTGCCTGCCACTTACTCCCTAACTTCTGATTCCTGCTCAAATATCATTTTATCAGGGAGGCTTTCACAAACCATTCATGAAATAGCACACACTCCACCCCTTTATTGTGCTTTTTCTTCCCAGCGATTATCACAGCCTGATTTTGTAAAATACAGATACATAGATATAGATACGGTCTTTTGTTATCTCTTTCCTACTTCCAATAGTATGTAGGCTTCATGAGAGTGAAAACTTAGTTGTGTTCACTGTACTATCCTCAGGTCCTAAAACAGTGCTTGACACCCGGTAGGCCCTAAGCAAATGTCTGTTGCATGAATGACTCTGTATTGTTCAGAATGCTTCTACTTGCAAATAATCCAAAACTCAGTTACCAGGAGGTATACCATAAAAACAGTTCATTTAACCAGGATTACAGAGGTAGGCAGTGCCATGGTTGAATCAATGAATGAATAACATCAACAAGAATTCAGTCTCTTTCTCTTGCTCCACACCACAGTCTGCAGGTTGTTGGCTTATTTCTCTTAGGCTTCTTACTTCATGGTCTCAAGGTGGTTACTTACTGGGGCTTCAGGCATCAAATATTCATTGAGCCAGATTCAAAGGCAGGAAGGAGGGGGATAGCCAGGGCATGGAGGGAAATTTCTCTCCACATGCCTCTCTCCCTGTAGCAGGAGGAATAAATATTTCCTAAGAGTCCGACCATAGACTTCCTTGTGCATCCCGTGGGTCAGAACTGAGTCACGTCTCACCTAGCTTCAGGGAGGTGGAACGTGAGAGCACAAGTGTGGTGAACAACACGGGCGTTCATGACGTGGACAAGCAAGCCAGGCTTCCCTGAAGCTGACAAATGCTGACCTAGCCAAAGTCACAGAGAGGAGAGAAATGCAACAAAGATGATGACACAGATTAACACTTCAGAAGATACCGATTTGAGAAAGAATTGGCAGAGGACTTTGGGAAAATGAGTGATGCCCTGAAACTGTTTTGCAAAAATTACCTCCTTAAAGATCAACTATGAAAGTCAATTGCGAAGTACAAGATATTATGTTACCAAAGTCACAGTTTGGTAAAATCAAGTTTTGACTCCTTATCAGTGTGTCCATTGAATTAGAACATCATTGTTGCAATTTTACTCCAGATTTTCCTAAATATAAAACTCACTTTCATCCATTTTGGTTATAATGTTTTAAGATACGTTCCTAATCACACTTGTCTACTGCTTAGTGTGAAATACTTGTCCTTACTTTAGAGTCACGGTGTGACCTTTCTCAGGCCTGGACTATCCTTGATAACAAAGGCTTCCTATACCCGACACACAAGAAAACCATTTGACAGGTGTTCCCTGAGCCAGTTCTAATGGATCTGCCTTTTCCCAGAGGCAGAACCAGTGGCACAGTTCCCGTGAGGGAGATGCAGTGGTCAGTGCCCAGTGGTGGGCACACTGGACCCGCACACGCTCAGTGGTCCCTTCTCCCAAGCTGCCTTACATTGGGTCTTTCCTTGTGGGGTAAAGTGAGTGAAGAGTTGGGAAAGAGGCCAAGAGTGTTAATTTATCAAAGCCCATCCACACAGAAAACAGAAAGAGTGGAGAATAAATGTCCCCCCCATCAGAATACATTTTTCTTGTTCGTTTGTTTTTTAGGGAGTTAGGGAGAAAAATACTATGTATGTGTTTCACATGCTTCCTTGAGAAACGGAGATTTTTGGGGTTTTTTGCAGGTACAGTTTCTTAAATGGAGCTAACATCTGTCTGCAGACCTGGTTTCGTCTGATGATTCACAGACCGCAGCTCCGAAGCCGGTTCAGCATTCCCAGCGGCCAGGCTCGGAGTAGTCGGTCCTCAGGATGTTGGACTTCCTGGCGGAGAACAACCTCTGCGGCCAGGCCATCCTGAGGATTGTTTCCTGCGGCAATGCCATCATCGCTGAACTTCTGAGGCTCTCCGAGTTCATTCCAGCTGTTTTCAGGTTAAAGGACCGAGCCGATCAGCAGAAATATGGAGATATCATATTTGATTTCAGCTACTTTAAGGTAGCCTACCCCTATAGCACTTGAACCCTTGTCTTCCCTACAAAAGCATGTTCTTCCTGGGAGCCCTGAGACTCTGGGCAGTTAAGTCAGTGTGAACGGAAAGTTAAATAGAGATTTTTAAACCAAATTTAGTATCAGTGAACTAACTGGAAAATAATCTGAAGGTGTTATGTGAAGCCCAAGCACAATATAACCAAATTTTCAGAAGGCAACTTTGGTGTAATATGTTTCCCGTTAAAGCATGCTCCCTGCAGTGGCCGTTCAGACTCACTGGTTTGAAGGAGATTTTACATCTGGGCTTCCCTTCTCTTCACTACCTTCTGCTGCTCTCCTTACAGCTTTTGACTTCCCTTTTAAGGCATAAGAACACATTTCTTAAAGAATACATAGAACTTGTCACCAGCAAGTACGTTTTTGTTGATGTCTCTATAAATGTGTTTTTCTTCTCAGGGCCCAGAATTATGGGAAAGCAAACTAGAAGCTAAGCCGGAGCTACAGGATCTAGATGAAGAATTTCGTGAAAACAACATAGAAATTGTGACCAGATTTTATTTAGCATTTCAAAGTGTGCACAAATATATTGTAGATTTAAACAGGTACTGATTAATTTAGTGATGGCTTATTCCAATAGTGAATACTGGAGAAGGAAAAGGAACACTCCAGAACGTGTAAATCTGAGTTACTAGAAAATTGACTAGATTATCTCATGTGTAATTGTCTTGTCCTTCCCGTGACACTAGTCATCTGAAGTATTTTGAAGTTTTATTATAGTTTCCTAATCTTGTGAAGTATTATAATTATCTCAGTTACACTAACTCACAGCTTTCAGTCCTGTGATTTATGATCATGTTCTGGTATATTATATCTAAGAAGTAGAAAACATATATTTGTAGCCTTGGTAACCATAGCCTGCCTTCTTATCTCTAACCACACAATATTCTCTTCCTTCCAGCCCTTCAGAATTCATTACTCATTAGCTTTTAAACTAACTAATCCATGTTCTCATAATGTTAATGGTACCTCCTAAGATATTCGTAATTCATAAATCAGGCTGGGGAATATTCCTTTTACTTGGAGCAGCCTAAATATCAGCCTCTGACCCTGATCACAATGTGTTTCAGCTCACAAACTATTTGAAGGCCAGGATGCCTAGTTCCTCGCCTTACCTTTTAGAAAGCTTTGCTTCCCTTCATCAAAGATGTTGTTAAAGTTTTAATTGTCAATGAATAACTTGCTCTGGGCTTCATTTCTAGGTACCTGGATGACCTCAATGAAGGCATTTATATTCAGCAAACCTTAGAAAGTGTGCTTCTCAATGAAGATGGGAAACAACTTTTAGTAAGTACTAGTGACCATTCAAAATAGAAATTCAAGAATGTCAGGCTTATTAGCATTACTTTTTTTCCCTGTGAGTCACAAATACATAGACTTCTCTTCTTTAAAGAGAAGCAAAATAATAATTCTCTTCTAACTGACAGGTCTGATTCTGAGTTTAGAACATAGTGGACCTTGAACAGAAGTACAAGGGAATAAAGACTAGGCAGAGTTTCTGAACTTCTTCAGGGTAGCAATCCTCTCCTTATCTTTTGCGTCCCAGACATCTAGCCTAGGACCTAGTACAGAGTGATCACTTAAGAAATGTTTGTTAAGTAAGTGAATGACCTTGAGGCATTTGTAATATCGGGATTCCATTTTGGCATCCCAGGCAAAAGAGCAAAACCAGGCCAACTGAAAGGTAGTCATCGGGAGTTAAAATTTATCTCGCGTATATTTTCCAAAGCTCATTCTGCACAGAAGGTGAGAACCGTTTGGGAGAAACCTGCATTCTCCTTGTCTTATGAAGCTTTTGGGAGCAAAGTGAGCGTTTTACCGTTATCACCCACCCTTTAGGAGAATGTACACTCTCGTGAGTTCGGCCATTGTCCTTTTCGCTTTGTAGTGTGAAGCACTGTACCTCTACGGAGTTATGCTGCTGGTGGTTGACCAGAAGATTGAAGGGGAGGTGAGAGAGAGAATGCTGGTTTCTTACTATCGATACAGGTACGCCTGGGCTGGGGCTTCATGTGCCCAGAGCACTCTTCTGGGTAAAAAGCAGTGCAGGTTTCTGTACTATTTCTGGGGTGAACAGCAGCAATAGGATCTAGAATGCAAAAACAGAAGATTCTTTATTTTTTCCAAATGCAGTACAGCAGTTAACTCTGTGTTTTATGTTATCATCATAGGTTAGATGTCCTATAGTCTGTGGATTATAAATAAATTATTCTACATGCTGTAGATAGAGATCTGAAGATTAACACATTTATGGTGGTTCCTTAGTTTTTTGTTTTTAAAGGAATCTGAATCTTCTTTCCCTTAAAGATAAATTTGGGAATGTGGAAGTCTAATGAATGTTCTTTCTTGGTTGGTTTGGGTTTGTTTCTAAAGTTTCAAATGTTACTCTGTGGCAGATGTAAGGAAATGAATGTATGAACTTTGTTGTCAATGTTAGGTTGATGACTCTGAAAAGTTATCCCTCAGGGGCCAGGCTGAAAGTGATTTCTCCTGTGTGTGCAGGAAACAAACAGGAAACAAGCAGCAGTACACATCAGGATCACATGTTAGGTGTGTCCATGCAGAGTTGTGACTTCAGGAAGTAGTGTCTTAAAAACAGGAGCCACTGTGACCAACTCTGTAATTTCAGTACCTACCTAGTACACAGGTTTCAGTTTGTTGGATTGATGAGTCTAAATCAGGACACAAGGTCAATGTCAGAACTAGTCAAAATTCAGGGAAGAAACAGCCAATAAGCAGGAGTCTGAGTTAGGAACTTGGGCCAATGATGTGTAGACTGGCACTAACGTTTTCAAACGTACAGTATAGGACAACCTAAATAGGGCAAGGAGGGAGGCCCAGCCGAAGGGGGTTGTTTGGGGACATTGGGTTTTCAGCAGCCCCTGGGACTGCGCCTCCATGGCAGTAAACTAATCTGAAGCCGCTCAGTGAGCCTGCTTCCTGTCAGCCTTACCCCTGAGGGGGGGGACTGTCTACCCACATGCGTGGTCCAGTCTCCTCAGTTTGACCAGCAGCTGCCTCGCATCTGTGTTTGTAAACGTGAACTTCAAATGGCTGTGCCTCTGTTTCTGAAAGTACCTGTGAAAACAAAAATAATAAAGAATGTAAAGAAGAAGGAAAACGTTTGTCTCTCAAGCCCAGCTTTGACAATCCGGCCTTGTTCCGGGGGCGCAACAGCGGATTCATGGGAATGTGAGGGTCCATTGTTGAAGGGACACTGAAAAATTGCAAGTCAGGGTTGTGACAAGGGAGGCTCTCGTCCAGTAGGAGGACACCTTCCCGACTAAGACGCTTTGACTCTCTTTGAAGGGTCACTACTACGCCAGCCACCCTGGAAATCAAGGTGTTTTGGTGAAATCTGCATAGAAAGTGCACCTCACCAAGAAAAACCAGTTAGTGTAGATTCTACTTTAAATTGTTGTAGTTTTCAAAATTACTTTTTAATACTGAAATATTGGAGCAGGTTCACATTCTTTATGCACAGTTCTGAAATCCAAAGAGCTGCGGAAACTAGACACACACACACACACACACACACACAGAAGCACATGGAATAACTCCTGTGGCAGCAAAACGGATCGAATCTGAACTCACATGAAGTCAGTCCTGAGCAAAGCGAATGTGACCTCACCTGTGCGAACATTCCTGCGTGTTGGTCCTGGAGTGCCCACTGAGACCCTCCAGGAGAATCACATTGTATATAGTCTGCACACCATAGAACTTTCTGATATTCGAAAAATACTATATTCTGAAACAAATCCAGACCCAGAGATTTTGGGAAAGGGGTTACGGGTTGTAACATAGAACTTACGTACAAGAACCCATCTTACAAGTTTGCTGTATTATAACAGCCTTTTTGGAAATATAATTTTGAACCTTAAGGAAATAAATTGATCCACAGTCACATTGAAAACTAGATAAAGAAATCCTTCTGCCATGTTGGACTTGTGAGTTTCTAACGTGTGCGGTTTGTGTGGCCCTCTCCCCCATCGCAAACCCAACTCAGTGCTGCTCGGTCCTCTGCCGATTCGAACATGGATGATATTTGTAAGCTGCTCCGAAGTACAGGTTATTCCAGCCAGCCAGGAGCCAAGAGACCACCCAACTATCCTGAGAGCTATTTCCGGAGAGTGCCCATCAATGAGTCCTTCGTCAGTATGGTCATTGGCCGGCTAAGATCCGACGATGTTTACAACCAGGTGGGGGTTGAGTCCTTCGCAATCTTAGTAATTTAAAACACTGCTTTCAGTTGCCCCCTCAGTTACTCCTGCCCTTCCTCCTTCCTCCAAAGAGTAAAAGCAGCTTAAAATTAGTTACAGCCTTTTAGCTATGTGACAGGATGGTAGAGGACAGAGGGGTACTGATTTGGGCAGAATCAGAGATATGGGGGAAGAGGTGGGATTTGAGCTATATTCAGAAGGAAGCAGTCACTGAGTGTGTGTTAGGTGTCTGTCCACGTGCTGCAGATGCGCAGCTGCCAGGGAGGCCATGGTTGCTGTACATAATGAGCTTGCAGCTGAGGAAAGTGGAGGGAGAGCTAAAAGAGTTACAGTAGAACAAGAGGAGTGTTACCTGGGGGGAAGGAGCATGTAACAGGGCCGCAACATTATAACAGGTCTCCAAGGGGGCAGGAGAGCAGGGTCATGAAAGCTCTGCAGCATTTGAAAGGGGTCTCACTTTCCTCTCCAAAAAGGACGTTAAGGGAAGTTGCCATTTGACTTCATTTTCCTGAAGAAAACATAATTTCACTAGAAGGAAGTTGAACCTTTGATAACTATGTATCATTTATCCCAGAGCACACCTGCTCTGTGCAGTTCTTTGGGTGACCTGTTAGTGTGTTGTATGAATATGTTAACTGTAAATAGAAGAGATTTTGTAAGACAACTCAAGATCAGGAACCACCTGCAGATAGTAGCTTTTTATAATATTTGTTGCCGTTTATTGAGACTTCAGTATGAACCAGAATCATAAGAGGTTTCTTCATACACCATTTTCTCTGTTCCTTACAGTAGTAGTGCAGAGTAGGCAGCATAATTCCCATGTAGCTTTTAAGAAAACTAAGGCTTAGAGGCCTTACATAATTTTCACGTGGTCAGGCAGCTAGGTAGCAGAACCGGAGTTTGAATTCCGGTCTGTGTGACTTCAGAATTCCTGCTAATTCTTCACTCCCTGCCCTTACCCCTTCAGCCTCCTATGCAGTCCATTTTGTCCGTTTCAGTTTTCTCCTTGCCCGTGACCTTCATTAGGACAGGGGTTAGCCTGTGGTTGTGCTGTGTGTCCACCCCACTCTCTGCCCTGTACCTCCCGTCCCCGGCTGATTGGAGCGGGGCCAGTCACTTGACCTAAGATGGGTCAGATTCCCTGTCACCAGGTAATTTGGAATTGGGCCTGAGAAACAGTTTCTGGACCCAGGTTTGCTCACGTCATGCAAAATCTGGAGTTTGGGGCAGCGTCCTTCTGCCACGTTAGAGAAAATCATCTGGAGGGAGAGCGAAAAGTTGGGCAAACACAAGGGGAGGCACTGAAGGCATTTTGGTTCATAGCTCTAGGCCCTTCCAGAGACCTGGCCAGGTTCCATGTGACGTTGCTCTGCCTGTCCTTGTACGGATTTCCTCCCTTTCCACTTCCAGTCCTCGAGGCGATATGCACTGTGTGCCACCCGAGATTCCAAGGACATGAGGCGATTGACCAGGGGGACACAGCCGCTTTGGAAAGGCAGGCAGGAGGAGACCTCCCAGCAGAGCGCATGAGGGGAGTGGCGTCTGGGAGCCAGGAGGAGAGCGTTCCTTTCCTGGGGGAATTTAAGTGAGAGTTAAAACGAGCCGTGGAGTCGGGTGGCTGTGAGGTTACGCGTGACCGCAGGGGATTCGGTGGAGGCGATGGTGGGGTTGGACTGCAGCGAGCTGAGGGACAAACAGGAAGAGAGAGCAGCAGTGGCCAGCGTGGAGTCTGTCAGTTCTAGGATACAGACGGGGAAGACTCGGAAATGGACAACTAGGGGGAGACCTGGGGTTACCAGTTTCATTTTGAAAGGAAAAAACTTCGAATTGCAACTGAGTTGAGGGCTGGGAGGAAGAGAAGAACGCGGGTGGTCCGGGGTGAGAGGGAAGGCCCTGGTTAGCGTTGCCAGAAGAATTGCCCCTGGCGCCCACGATCCTCCAAGGAGGTGGCCTCCCGGAGACCGATCTGCCCTAGAACTAGGGCGCATGTTTGGCACAGGGCAGTTCAGTCGTCACCAACGGCCGCCTCTCCGCACCGCAGGTCTCAGCGTACCCGTTGCCGGAGCACCGGAGCACAGCCCTGGCGACCCAGGCCGCCATGCTGTACGTCATCCTCTACTTTGAGCCTTCGATCCTTCACACCCATCAGGCAAAGATGAGAGAGATCGTGGATAAATACTTTCCAGATAATTGGGTAAGTATTACGGTTAGTTTTGTGTTTTTCTGTATAGCGAGCGCATTGGGGAACTGGCTTTTCCATTCTTTTGGCCTGTTACCCAGAGGCCATACGTTGTAAAGAGCGAGAGATAAAGTCACTTAGGTAAAATTACTTTAAGGTGTTGGAAACTTTATAAATCATAACACCAAAGAAGAAATCATCCAGTAAAATTTCCTGAGTCTTTTTTTCTTAAGTGGATACTTGGAAGATAAAACCATGCATTACAATGTATGTTGCTCTGGTTACAGAGACCAGGTAAGTTACACAAGCCTTTCTTTATTCTCTTCTGTTTTATGAATCTCAACCAGCAGAATTCATCTAATTTCTCACCCCAGAAGTAGGAATTTCACTGTTTTATCTATCAGACAACGCTGACTGACGGGGCTATGCAGGTGTAAATTACTGTGGGGATTGATTTGTTGTAACTTTTCAATGTTTCACTTAAGAATATTAACTCTTAAAGGAATAAACTGATTTAACTGACTTAATGCACACATGTGTTCAATGTCGTCTCTGCTCAGAGGTTTGAACAAAGAACAGGAAGGCGGGCCACGCTCTCAGGCGGCAGATCTTCTTTCCATCTGTTGAACTGCAGACCCTCTGGGGTGAGGGACCCGAACGGGCTCCTTTACTGGGAGGAGAGCAGACCGCAGCTGAGAGGGGCTACCTCCCGTCCACGGATGGCCATTCTCATGAGCAGGGACTAGGGAACGAAGATGAGAGCTCTGGTCGTCCAGCTTCGTTCACCTGCGCTGAATGAAGACGTGTGGCCATAAAGCTGTACCAGAGACTCATCTAGAAGTGAGGAAGATCGAAGTCCAGTTACAGGACACTTACACTCCTAACAAAGGCCCCTAGCACACTGAAAGTAAAGGAATAAAAGCATAATGCCAGGCACATGCCAACCAATAAAAAGCTACTAAGAAAGTATTAAGATTACACCTAGAAAATTTAAAAGAAAAACACTAGTAGGGCTAAGGAAGAATTGTATGTACTGTATTTTTAGGGCCATAAGACGCACCTAGGTTTTAGAGGAAAATAAGAAAAAAATGTGATAAAATATTTAAACCTGCGACCCCCCCCTCCACTGCTGCTGTGCCCCCCCCACCAGATAAACTATATTCAGACTATAAGACACAGCCCCATTCTCCTCCCAAATTTGGGGGTGAGTCTTATAGTCCGGAAAACAAGGCGATTGTTTTTAGACAAATGTAGAACAATGCCATTCTCACAGGTTTGGGGAGGGGATACTCACTGGATTTTTTTAATACAAAAAATTATATGTTAGCATGTAATGGGTTTATTGTTATTTTAAATGAATTAAATACTTTAAAAAATTTGTCAGTTTTAATGTGTAATGTGATAAATGCCAATTGATAAAAATCCACCTTTTTCAAAACAGTTCTTTGGGGTCCTCACCAGCTTTTAAGAGTGTAAAGACTGAGATGAAAATGTTTGAGTACCTTCTCTAGTCCAGTCCAAGTCTAGTCGAAGTGACTGCTTCCCTCTTCTTCATCTGGGAATTTAACACGCAGCCATTTCAGAGGAAAACCTTGTTTTACTTATTCCATGAATAACAGCCTTGTCACTTTTGATCCGAAGCGCTCATAAGGAAAAGCATTTCCCTGTGTATCTGGGAAATCTTGGTTTCTCATTGACTTTCTTTGGAAGGGCATTTAGCATTGGAGTGGGCAACGTGTAATTTGGTGCCTTTCCAGCCCACTGCCTTGATGTGGGTGAGTATTTAGCAAATATTGAGTGAGTGTCTCCTCTTTCAGGTAATAAGCATTTACATGGGGATCACAGTTAATCTCGCAGATGCTTGGGAACCTTACAAAGCTGCAAAAACTGCTCTAAACAATACCCTGGACCTTGCCAATGTCAGAGAGCAGGTAAGTTCTGGCCAATCGGATTCTCAAAAAGCTGCCCGCCTGCCTTCACGGGGTAGCAAAGGAGCCAGGGAGATTTCCCAAGGCACTTGGAAGATGTCCACAAAAACATGAATGCAATGATTAGTGAGAGCTGAACTTCTCAGAGTAAGATAAGTGTCAATTTTTAACGTGTGTGGAGTATGTATAAATGGGAGACCTGGGTCCTAGGGGATATTCAACATCCTAAGATGAATCAGAGTGGCATGGGGTTTCCATTGACTTTATTTACTCTTGCTTAGAGACTGTGTCCTTTGGATTGAGCTACTTTTCCTAGTAACCAGAATTTTAATGTTTCCATCGACAGGATGAGTGTGGAAGTATTCCTGTCACTGTAATTTTCATTCGTCATTTCTGGTGGGCAAGATAAGCAACAAGACTAAAGCCTAGAGTTTAAGTGGCTACATTATGTCTTTTCGATCAAGAGCACAAAGTAGAAAGAAACAACTGAGTAAAAAGAAGAATAAAATACTGTTATTAGGGAGTATACTTGGTGTTTCTAAACAGTTATCTCCCCCAGCCTGGCTGTCTGAATTTTGAGTTTCCAGTATGGATAGAATGATAGTGATTCAAAACCTTCTGCATGTTTTATTCGAGTACATTGCATTCCATAAATAATGCACAAAGTAATTCCAACTTCGGAGTGTCTCCTAGAAATGGATTAGAGAAAGTGGTGCTTCTGCACTTACCGGCAGCAGAGCGTTAATTTTTCATGACTGAAATCTCCTGCCCAAATTGCATTTTCTTGTTTGTGACATTGTAAGGAGCTCTTCAGAGTCCTGATAAAGCATCTAGTGACGGCTGTAAACTAACCTGACACGGTGAATGATGTTCCGCACTTAACTGTTGCTTTAGATAAAGCAGAACAACCAAATTTCCAAAAGGTCTGCACATTCATCTTGATGCACTGAGGTGTGTTTTCTGTTAAGCTTTCGTATGTTTGTGAGAAGTCTCATCTTTTGCATGTTTCTGCTCTGCTCTGCCTCCTTTGCTGATAATAATAATAACATATCTTTTATCTTCTGCCTTTGTGTTTCTTTTCCACCCAAAATAGAAGGGAACCGCCTGGTCCACTTCTCCACTTATATTTGAAGAAACCAGTACACAGAAGTTAAACCCAAAGTCACACCAATATGTAATTCCAGCCAGGACTAGATTTTAGTCTCTTAATTCTAAGTTCAATACTCTTTTTTAAAATGTCCAATACACCACTCGCCTTTGAGCCTTTTCAGCTACGGGACATATGTTAGTCATCTCATAGAAATGTTAGCACCCAGCCCGGAATCTGCTTGAGTGTGACTCGCTTTCAAGACACGTAATTCTCTCTCTTTTTAAAAATGTATTTCCTTTTTTTTACTTGCCAAGGCAAGCAGGTGTGCTTCGGCCAGTGAGCGAGTGCACGCTCAAGTGCAGCAGTTCCTGAAGGAGGGCTGCTTGAGGGAGGAGATGGTGCTGGACAACATCCCCCGGCTGCTGAACTGCCTGAGAGACTGCAACGTCGCCATCCGGTGGCTGATGCTGCACACGGCTGACTCGGGTGAGGCACGAACGGGGGCCATCTCTGTCGCTCCGCAGAAGGGCTTTCAGAGCTGAGATCTGCTTAGGTTTAGGCCTTGGATGAGAATCAAGTTGCTTTCTTACTTAGTCACTTCCGTGCCTCCTTGGGCAAGTCAGTACCCTCCTGAAGAGCTCCTTTGTCCTATACTGTTAGGTGCGTGGAATCGAGAAATTTACCTCCCATGTCCAAGGGGCTTGTCACTGGCCAAGCTGGGAGATCGATGTATGCGTATGAAAAGTAAAACTTCAGCTCTGGAAGGCAGAATAATGTCTCCCTGCTCATCCCTCCCGTGGATGTTCATGGCCTGCCCCTCAGAAACTGGATGTGTTATGTTGTATGGCAAGGGAGAGTTCAGGTTGCAGATGGAATCACTGCTTCTAATCAGCTGATCTCAAAGGAAGGAGATTATCCCAGTGCAATCACAGGGGCCCTGAAATTGGGGAAAGGGAAGCAGAAGAGGCGGAACTAGAAAGATGGCATCTTGAGAAAGACTTCACGGGTCACCACTGGCTTCAGCAATGGAGAGGGCCCCAGGCCGAGGAGTATGGACGAAGGGCAGCATGTAAATGTTGGAAAAGAGAGGAAGCGGGTTCTCCCCTGGGGCCCCCAGAAGGAGCACGGCCCTGCTGACGCCGTGGCTTTAGCACAGTGAGGCCCGTTGGGGACTTCCCGCCGTCTTAGACCCTTTTCCCAGGAGCTGCTGTCCAGCCGTTTTCATCTTTTCTCCCGTGTTGCTTCTCACCCTGGGCCTCTCTCCAGTTTATAGTTTACTCGCAGCACGAATTAATCTCAGAATGGATCTGTTTTTAATTAGTTGAGTTGGCCTTAAGTAGACTTCAGCTCTAATTTGAAGATTTTACTACGTTGACTCAGCTATGATCCTCTTTGCCAAAAGTCTACCTTCCCAAGCCTACAAACAGCTCAGGGCCTGGTTCTGTCCTGTCTCGAATCCAGCAGCAGTTTCGCAGTGACTCAGGCTGTCTCCGTCTTCCAGACGGCTGTCCTGACGGCCGGGAGCCGGCGGGCTCCTGGGTCTGCACCGTGCCGGGGACCACCTCGGCTGCCTGGAGTCCCTGCCTCCCTCCGCAGCCACATCTGTTTCCCATCTCTGTGGCTGGCCGTGGTCTGACCTGATTGCACAAGGTCATAATTTACCAGGAACACATGGTTTGCCTCTGTGGCAGTGAGTCACATGTGGGGAAAGTAACTGCTTATTTAGCTTTTCTGGTGTTTCAGTCATGGTGTGCAGAGAGGAAAACATCCTCCCCGTACCCCGGCCTGTTAACCAGCTGCAGGCATCTCACCCAGGCGCGGCGGCGTCTGCGGTGCCTTGAGGCTGTTAAAGAAACAGACTCGGAGCCAACGCTGGCGAGGCAAGGCTAGCTGGCTGGTGGAGTCCCACCCCCACGTTATCACGGCTCAGATCCTAGGGAGAGGGCCAGGCCCAGAGAACACTGGGACCAAACCTGGTTTATACTGGGGAGTTCATCATCAATGCACGGTGATGTACCCTGTCCAAAAAATGAAAGCAAATTACTATCAGAAGTTTTCCCGTTGAATTAAAGTTAATACAGCCCTGGCTGGGTGGCTCAGTTGGTTGTAGTATTGTCCTATACACCAAAAGGTTGCAGGTTCAATCCCCAGTCAGGGCACATGCCTAGGTTGCAGGTTCAATCCCCAGTAGGGACACATACCAGAGTCATCCAGTTGGTGTTTCTTTCTCATATCGGTATTTGTCTCTCCTCCTCCTCCTCCTTTTCCTCTTTCTTCATCTTCCTCTCCCCCTCTTCGTCCTGCTTCTTCTCTTCGTCCTCCTCCCCCCACCCCCAGTCTCTCAAAATCAATGAGTACATCCTTGAGTAAGGATTCAAAATCCTTACACATTTGGTGCGGGTTGTTTTTTAAGTTAGGCAAATATGAAACTGAAAAATTGTCTCCGTGGGATCGGTGCCACCAGTTCCGAGGCGGTCGTGGAGACTGTGGGACAAATCAGAACTCTGCAGTTTGCCGTGAGAACCGAGGCCTTCTCCCGGTTGTCCGGAGTCTCCTCCTGACGGAGTAACTTAGAAACCAGCACAGGCAATGGCCTTCCGCGGGCTTCACCATAAGTGAAGCATCCAATGACCCCTGCGTTTGCTCTTCTACATGGTCGTTGTGTGTGTGTGTCGGACATTCCGAGATGCTGATGGGAGGGGCAGGGAGGCAGGGACGTGCGCATGTGGTGCCAGAGTCACCCCCAGGGACCGTGAACCTCCTCAGCTGTGAACTTGACTGCGTTGCTTTAAAGTTTTTATTTTGGCTTTATTTGCAGTCCAGGCTGCTTTTGCTTGTAAATGTTTTTGCCTTACCCTATTTTCTTATTCTTTCTTAAGCAGTAATTGGCCCTATAAACCAATTTCAGCAAATATCAGTATTTTTTATTCTATATACTTTTAAAAAACATACTGTTTGTTTTAGTAAAACAGTTTGGCTTGGCAACCAAGAAACCGAGCAGGGAATCAGGACCTCTGGTGTTTGTCCCTGGGTCAGTCACTGCCCGACTGTGGGACCGCGGCCTGGCTGTCCGAGTCTCTGGGCCTGGACAGTGGCTGGTCCAGAAAGCCCCTGGGTCAGCTTCGCGCCTGGGGCTTCACAAGGAGCAGAATAGTCCCAGGCCTGGGGTTTCCCAGTTGCAGGTGCCACGTCTTTGTGTGGGTGACCCTGCCTCCCTTTTGTGTCAAGGGTCCTGAAGACCGCCCCAGGTTCAGTGATTATACCAGGAAGACTCAGCCTATAGTGGTGCTCACAGCTATGATTTTTTACGGCAATGGGATAGAAAGCAAGTCGGTACAGGGCAAAGGCGCATGGGGCAAAGTCTGGAGGACAGCAGGCACAAGCTCCCAAAAGTCTGGTCCCACTAGGTCCTGGGGATGCGTGTAATTCGGGGAGCAGCAGTGAGGTGTGCCATCCTGTGGAAGCCGTGGCCAGCCAGGCAGCTCACGAGGAACTCAGTGCCTCTGTCAGGGGCCAGATGCAGGCAGCCTCTGCTTGGCACATGCCACAGCTCCACACTCCCTGAAGGGGAGCGGGTGTTCATCACAAGCGTCACTCGGACAAACAGTGAAGGCATAGAGGGCCCTTGTTGCCAGTGTTCAGAATGATGGGAGTGCTTCCAAAATCCAGGTTCTCAGATGCCTGCCTTGCAGACAGGCCTTTCTGAGGGTGGCAGTCACGGGCCTGCTGTGTGGGCTCTTCCGCAGACTTGTCGGTGGGCAGAGCTCCGTGCCCTAAACCAAACGCCACCCCAGCAGACGGGACGTGAGGAGGCTCTGCCTACCCCTGTTGGACAACCAGCAACGAACCAGCCCCAAATGCCTACGAACCCTGGAAATGCTGTTGCACAGCTTGCTTTCTCCACTCAGCACGGTATCACGGATGGCGCTCCATGTCACATCCAGTCTCACACTTAGTAATTCAGTTACACGCTTTCTCCCCAAGCACATGCTTTTCACTGTGATCAATTTTACCACTGGTATACATTTGCTGTTTACCTTTTAAAGACTTAACACAAGGGAGAGTATTTGAGAATTCATATCCCATAGATCTTCCCTACACATTTAATAAGTGGAAACTGTCTTGTTCCTGTTCTAGCCTGTGACCCAAACAACAAGCGTCTTCGTCAAATCAAGGACCAGATCCTAACAGACTCCAGGTACAATCCCAAGGTCCTCTTTCAGCTGCTGTTGGATACCGCACAGTTCGAGTTCCTACTCAAAGAGGTAAACATACCAAATGAGTAGCTGCCAAATTCTTATTTTTTTAATTTATTTTATTGTTAAAGTAGTTTTCTGCCTTTTCTGAATTCTTATTGTTCTTATGTTTAAAAAATTTTTTTGAAAGACTGGGGTTTAGTAGCAGTGTCTCTGATTCCAGCTATGGATTCCGAGTGTCTGCGATCATTCTCACGGAGAGAGGGCAGAATTCAACGTTGAGCAGGCACTCGGTGCCAGCTGTGGCTGGAGAGGCCATGATGGGGGACGCGCAGGGCTGTGCAGGTTGCGTCTGTGAGGGACATGGGCACGACCCAGGGAGTCTCTAATGAAGAGGTCGGTGTGAACCGAGGCGCATGCTCTAAAGGCAGGGAGCAGAGTCCTCTGGGCACCTAGAATAAAGCACCTTGTCCTTCCCTTGACGACTCCCCTGAGAAGCGAAGCCTCTGAAGACCCCTGAGGAAGGGACCTGTCAGAGTTAGCAAACACAAAGATAGGGAGTGAGATGGAGAACATTCCGAAGGGAAGACAGGGTTCATCTCAGTCCTCCTGGGTGAGGGACAGCGTGGCCAGCTCTAGGACCCGAAAGACTGCTCGGCCGGAGGGGAGAGAGAGCGCAAGGGAAAGGTGGTATGAAACGAGCTGGAAAAGTGGGCAGGAGCCCACCTGTACCAGGCCTCACGGGATGTAAGTCGTTATTGAAAAGCCGTGAGGACTTACTGGAAAGGGCCTAAGGAGGGTGGGGGGTTTGCCTTTGAACAAGGTCCGCTCCTAAGGGCTTGAACGGGTTCTGAGTTGACTCACAGAAATCCCTGGGTTAGTCTTTTCCCTAAAGAAGCTTCTGCGAGCACAACAGAAATGGCAGACACCTGGGAATGCCCAGGTCCTGTGAACAGCAGCCTTGGGGGTCTGGATCAGGTGAGCCCAGGAACTCTCCCAGGACATTAATGCCCATTCAGAACCAGTACTAAACCTTGCCGCAGTCTGGTTAGGAGGATGGTGGAGGTCCCTTTAGCTTCTGGGTAGGCAAAGACACCGTGTTCTCCTGTTAAGTAGCTCAGAAAAAGTAGGTGTTGATTTTCAACCTGATGTTAATAGTTGTGCTGAGTGTTTTCAGCGTCTTGTGTCTGCATAACTTTATAAAATCAGAGGAATGCCGGTGGTACAGGCTTTATTTCCCTGGGCTTTTAAGAGGTAAAAGTGCATGAATATTGATTGTCCTCTTAAGAAATTATTTTTTTCATCATGAATACTGGAAAAATGAGCAAGGATCAGGGAGACCCCATCTGCAGATGAAGGGATTGGGGCCCGGGCAGAGGAATCTTTAGTGATCGGGCAGGATGAGTAATCAGCAGAACATGCAGCAGGGTGAGGACAGCGAGGTTCACTCACAGAGCCCGCCCTGTCTATGTGGGTGCCTCGGACCCATCAGTGCCATCTGACCAGCTACAGCAGCAAAACTGTCCCCCGAAGCCTTCACTGCACACCAGGTGGTCTTGAGTGTTTTGAATACTGATTCACAGATTGAACCCACAAGTTTTACAAATTATGAAACGGGATTTGGGTCAAGAGATAGTCCTTAAATTAGGAGGCACATCTTCGTATAAAAATCAGAAGAAATGCCCTGGCTGGTGTGGCTCAGTGGATTGAGCGCTGGCCTGCAAACCAAGGGGTCATCGGTTCGATTTCCATGTCAGGGCGCATGCCTGGGTTGTGGGCTGGGTCCCCAGTGGAGGGTGCGTGAGAGGCAACCACACAGTGATGTTTCTCTTCCTCTCTTCATTCCTCCCTTCCCCTTTCCAAAGTAAATAAAGTCTTTTTTAAAAATGAGAAGAAACAGTTTTAATTAGTATATTTATAGGAGAATCTAGGAACAGGGTTGGGGTGGCAGGTAGGAGAGATGAAAATATAGGTGAAAGAACCACTCTGAAGTGTCAGAAATTCACACTCCGCGTGGTTTGCTGTGTTTGTATTAGACATCACAGAAATTGGACCTCAGGACCTTAGAGCGGTAGTCAGCAGCTGCAATGCCACGTTAAAATGTTGAGTCCTGGTCCTCCTGCCCAAGACCTTCTGAACCAGAATCTTCAATGGGGGGGGCGGGGCTTAGGAATCTGGCAACCTGAGGGCCCTGCAGGGGCTGCCCATGCCCCATTCCTCTGAGAACCACTACCTTAGGGAGGGTCTAGCTTTGCCTCTCCATTTGCACAGAGAAAAACGGCTTAAGAGACAGCATCGGGGCAATGTTAACCTTCCATGTTTCTAACAAACTGGGTGTGACCAAGGCTTTCTCAGTAAGCCGCCTAATCTGGATCTTTCTCTTACGTGAATAAATGGCTTCTGTCCCTTCAACAGATGTTCAAGCAGATGCTTTCAGAAAAGCAAGCCAAGTGGGAGCATTACAAGAAGGAGGGCTCAGAGCGGATGACGGAGCTCGCGGATGTCTTTTCAGGGGTGAAGCCCCTGACCAGAGTGGAGAAAAATGGTAATTGCCGCTTGAAATAGGCACACAGATTGTGAGAAATGGGCGGAGTCAGATTCCTCACGTTGTCATTCATTCTGCACTAGGACATCGCCAGTGGAGGTCTCTTGAGCAATCTCCGTGTATGCTCTGGACTTCAGGTTTCTTATCTTTGAAGTAGGAGATTAAGCTGAATGAGGGTTCTTACTCTCCGGTTCGTAAGTCAGTCTTTGTAGAGTCATGACCCACAGCCTCACTCCACCAATAGTGTGCAAAACGAGTGTGTCAGCTTATGTGCACTTGGGGGTGAGAGGAAGGACTGTAACTATCGTGATCTTCTCAGAAGACTACTTTGTCCAAGAACATTGATAGCCACTGACATAGATGACCCGGAATGTTCTTATCTTCTAACCTCACTTGGTTCTTTTTCACTGTTGCACCTGCCATCTAGTGGCCTAAAGGGAGAACTGCAGACTGTTTTGTAACTAAATGTAGCTTAAGTTTAACTTTTAATTTTTATCCTGCTTTTAGAAAAAATTTTATCAATAGGAAAATTACAGTATTCCTTCAGATTTTTATATAAATAAGAACCTTTCAAATAACCCCCAAAAGACCACTCTGAATTTTAAAGTGACAATTACACTTTTTTAAATGTTTAATGTTTATATATCAAATCCATTTCGATAGTTATACAATAAGATTGCTTTTTGCCGCAAAGCTTTTGCTGGAAAGTTTTTTTTTTAAACTTTACTATTTTTAATCAATGGGAGCTTGTAATTACTGTATTTGGCTCTTGTCGATTCATCGGATGCGGAATGGTTGTCTAAAATGTATTCCCAAATTACATTAATTTCTAAAGGTCAAGGTCAACCAGTTTTTAATGATGTGACTGAAATCGGCAACATGTTTTGTGGGTCACCATACTGTGACTAAAAAACAAATGTAACAGTGACCAGCTCAGTGTGTGGCATCAGGCACATTAGCCTCTGCTCTAGTCCTGTTTTGGTCTCCATAAATACCAGCGTTGTTTCCAAGGTCATTCAGAACATTTTATACTTCTTCTGGCTGCATAGCATATTTCCGTTTAGGAAGTACTTTCTCGAAATCTCTTGTGTGATCCTTACAATCCTGTGAGATAAACATCTTTATTCTTATTTTACGTGTAAGGAAACCAAAACCTAAAACGTAATCACTGCCTATGGTGACAAAGGTCTGAAGCCTGGTTCTAACTCACTGCCTCAGACTCCAAATCTTGCCCTCTTTCTGCTGCTCCACAGCTGTCCTCAGTCCCCCCCCCACACACACACAAAATATAAAAGTGCAACTGGTGCTCCTCATGGCAGTCACAGTAACTTACATCATGAGCCCTTAAGTGCTTTTACTAGAGTGAAATCATCCCACTGATAAAAGAGAACTGTGGGGAATCACCTTGGCGAGATGGAAAGAGCAAAGCCTTCGAATGGGGACAGACAGGTGTGACGGTCCTGGTTCCACCACTTAGTGACAGTGGAGCCCTGCTTCACATTCTTAATATCCCTGGGCCTCAGCTTGCTTATCCGAGAAATGGGCCCCAACTCCCACCTCCACAGAGAGCTGTGCAGATTAAACAAGATGAAGTTTAGGGCTTTGTCTGACACACCGAGGTACTGGGAGCATGCTTCCATTCTCTGCCCTGTGAAATGCAGCTGGTGTGTGAATGCAGGTAGGGCTCCGCGATCCATGCAGATGTCCCTCAGCTCACCACTCAGACTTCATACTGCTGACACGTTGGTTTCCTCTCTCCCCAAGACATACCAGTTTTGCCGCAAAGCCTCTGTTCATATTCGTCCCTCCGTCTAGTGACAAACCATCCCTCCTATTCTGTCTGCCTGTGCAGACCAGAAAGCTCCCCATTGACCCTGTGTCCTTCGTGACTCCTCCCCACCACCACTGCCCCCTTGGGCACATCTGTTTACAGCTGTACTTGGGCCTTTAAACCTTTTCTACCAGATATTGTAGACTAAGCTACACAGGAAGTGTGACCTTTCCCACTGGGTCACATGCCCCAGGCATTCCTGTGGTGGTCTTTTGGGTAGGTCCTGAGGGCAGGGTAGACACGTAGTGAGAACTCTGTGACTGAGAACCAGATGTGTAGCCGATAATTCCATTACATTCAGGCCACAGGTACAAGAATTTTGGGAAATCAGTAGTCTTTCCTTGTTTCTGTGTTGACAGAAAATCTTCAAGCCTGGTTCAGAGAGATCTCCAAACAAATACTGTCTTTAAATTACGAGGATTCCACTGCTGCAGGCAGGAAGACCGTGCAGCTGATCCAAGCTTTGGAGGAGGTAAGGAAAGTCTTTTTAAATGACGCTTCTTGGGTTGCTAATCTGCCTTTGACCTACCCAGCTGTCTGCTCCTCGAAATCTGAGAATATGTTTTATCAGTAAAAGCAATATGAGTCAATATGCTCACTGTAATATTTTATACAGTGTCCTAGAAGTGGGAAAATAGTTACCAGAATGAAGAGAATGGTAGCAAAAATTGTATTTCAACTGTGGAAACATAAAGTCTTGGAAAAATAATTATGAAGACAATATAGAAACATTTAGCAAATTGTGGTAATGGGGGTAAAAGCAAAAAGAAAATTGCATTGTATACACCATTTTTAGGTTTATAAAATATATGCCTTGGAAAAAGCTAGACGTCATACAGCAAAGTGAAAATAGTGGTAGGATAATCATATGCTTATAAATGGTATATGTTCTTTTTTGGAAAAAGTTTGGTTTTTATCTACTCAAAAATTATTGTGCCAAAAAGAATTATTATATCTTCACTCTTAAAATTTTAAGTGTATGTTTAACTAGGTTTAAAATGGAAAATAAAAACATCAGTTATTATTGCTATAATAACTAATATTATAGTTATTATAGCAATAACTATAAACTTTTTTTTAAACCCCAGTCCATCTTCATCTCTAATTCTGTCCAGTTGGTATAATTGTGCATGTTAAAGATGTAACACTTTTTCCATCTGGCAACTTTCTTACAGGCCTGTTCTTGATTGTGCCAGGATTTTTAGGATGGTCACTCTTAACGGCCACAAAGCACAGCAGTGCATTGTTAGGTCCCAGACCCCCGCACCGTCAGCGAGCAGCAGCTCACTTATACTGCATCTAGTTCGGTTGCTTTTTGGATTTTCTAGTCCACAGTATAACTGTGAACAGCTTTGTAAATCTCAGGTGGCTTTTTGACTTTTGTGTTACTTTGGCATGTAGCCCCAGCCCCTTCCTTGAATTATAGACATTAAAATGTCGGGACATAGTGGCACCACTGTTCTGATTTAAAGAGGACATCAGGGGAACTTAGTCACAGACATCTCTGCCAGTGCCTAAGTTGTGTGGAGCCTGTTCTGGTTTTATCAGTCCCGCAAGTCTTCAGCATTAAGAGGATTTGCCAGTCCCGGTGCATTGATGCTGAAATGGAGTGTTCACTTATTACGTCATGTGTTCGCAGGATGAGAGTTACGGCTCCGTTTCTAGTCCGAGAGATTCGTGCAGGGTTGCATGACCTGGTTCACACATCTCTGATATTATAATTTGAGATAAAAATTTTGCCAAGAAATTCTGAATAAGTAATGGGCTTTATTTGGAGTATCTTCAAGGAAAAACGAACACCATACAGGCCACTCAGGATTTTAAAATTAAACATACTTATCTCTGTAACACAGGTTCAAGAATTCCACCAGCTGGAATCAAATCTGCAAGTGTGTCAGTTCCTTGCGGACACGCGCAAGTTTCTGCACCAGATGATCCGAACCATCAACATTAAAGAGGAGGTCCTGATCACCATGCAGATCGTGGGGGACCTTTCCTTCGCCTGGCAGTTGATTGACAGGTAATGTGGGCAGCCTGACGTCCGCCCTCAATGAAACCACCGTGAATGTCTTCTTACCACTTCCTCCCTTTGCAGTTTCACGTCCATCATGCAAGAGAGCATAAGGGTGAACCCATCCATGGTGACTAAACTCAGAGCGACATTCCTCAAGGTAAGCGAAGAACAGTGAGGTCACACCGTCGGCCACTGGGGGGCCTTCATTGCTGCCTCATTCACTAATTCGGCCCAAGAGTTCATGCTTTTAAAAACTTGGATAATTGAAGTATTTATATAGACTGGAAATTGTTAGCGATTTTTCCTTGAGAGCATCATTTTTTAAAGATTCCAGAAATACTCCAAGTGTGAATTAATAAGTTAGATCATCTTCCACAAAATTATATTTAAATGAAGAAATAGATTTTTAAAAGTTTTACCAGTATCTAAAAATGTCAGCCCTGTGGGTCCTGTATTCCCTGGATGGGAATTAAATCCTTTTCTCAGTCGTTTTTAAAAATTCTGCATGGCCCTTGCTCTAAAGTAATTTCAGGTCATGATGAACAGACAGATACTTTACTCAAATGAATTCATGTAAATTCCGAGATGCACTTCTTTCATATTTTAACATCTCTGTCATTGGCGATGGGTTTTGTCATCGATGGCACATGGCAGTTGTCAGCGTGTTTTTTCTTTTGGGGAGGGACATAAGTAACGGTGCGTCTCTCATGCTGTGACGTCTTTGAGTGGACTTAGTGCAGTAGTCTGTTGATCAGAACGTCTGGTTTCCACAGAGGACGAGCTGTCTTCTGTAGCACAGTGGCTCTCAAACCTGAATGTACAGGAGGCTCCCCGGGTGCTTGTCACAGCACAGACTGCTAGGCCCCCCCCCCCCCCCCCCCCCCCCCCAGTGTCTGGTTCAGTAAGTCCAGGGTGGGGGCTGGAAAACTGGCTGCCCCAGCAAGTTCCAGGTGGTATCAATGCTGCTGGGTCAGAAAGCGAAATCTAGAACCATTGCTATAGCAAAAGTCTTCCATTTTTTAAAGATTATATCAATGTCAGAAACTATTAATCATATTGACAAAGTTCAGAGGTTGTTGCTCTTTCTCGGCTAAAGCCCAAGAGTTTTGTTACATGTTACTATTTCTGGAAAGAGACATTTCTAGGACTTTTGGAAACAGAAGCAGAGATATCTTCTTTCTTCCAGCTTGCCTCTGCCCTTGACCTGCCCCTTCTTCGTATCAATCAGGCAAACAGCCCCGACCTTCTCAGCGTGTCTCAGTATTATTCTGGCGAGCTGGTGTCCTATGTGAGAAAGGTAAGAAGTGCATCAGAGTGATATTTATATTCTTGGCATAATAACGGCTATCTTAGCCCCGACTGGTGTAGCTCAGTGGATTGAGTACAGGCTGCCAACAAAAGGTTCGCCAGTTTGATTCCCAGTCTGGGCACATGCCTGGGGGTCCAGGTACCCAGTGGGGGCCGCGTGAGAGGCAACCACACACTGATGTTTCTTGCCCTCTTTTTCTCCCTCCCTTCCCCTCTAAAAATAAACAAATAACTAAATAAGTAATGTTTTAAAAACCTGCTGTTTTGCATACAAAAGGTATGCGTGGGGCCCTATAAAATGTATAGCCATGTTTCTGTCCCTTGTTAACTTTTATTTCAGAAATTCGCAGTACCTGAAAATAAATGCTTTCTTACTGGTACTGTGGATGTGCAGACATATCTTCACATTCAGAGAACTTTCACAGATGTTTTTTTAAATGCAGGCAGTTTTAACACCCATTTTACGGGGGTAGAGACCGGGGAACAGATTACAGTGGCTTCTTCAGAGTCACAGGGGCGGCTGGTGAGAGGAGCCAGGTCTGCACGCAGCACACCCTGGTCTGCGCTTAAAGTCTTCGGGTGGGTTTGGGTCCCTGTTCCAAGAACTTAACGGGGCAGCGTGGATGTTACTGTTCAAACCTCGCCTGAGTCGCCGACCAAGCTGAGTGTGCCCAGCCATGTTGCTTAACCCCTCAGATGGGTGCAGCTCAGGGAACACAGGCCATAGCATTGCGATATCTCTGCGGGGCCAGGCGGGTCAGGTATCGGGGGTTGCTGTGTGGGGCATCGCTGTGCTGTACACCTGGAAGGAATCTACTGTGAGTGTCAACCGTAACTGAAAATAAAAATTAACTAATTAAAGGTAGCCATCTGCCTGTAAGTAAGTAAGTAAATGAAGTTTGTGATGCGGGAAAGATGCATCTTTCTGCAGCACTTTTGTGACAGTCAGCTTTGTATCCTGAGAGCAAGTCGGGGTTGAAGGAGCGCAGCCCTGGGCCTGGGCACTGTCACTGGAAGGGCCCCGCGGCAGCCCTTCCTGTGGACCGCCGGCTTCGCTCGCACCGGGGCCCTTCCCCCGCCAGCCTAGCATTTGTCAACCAAGGAAGAGAAAAGAGGTGCTTGCCCTGGCCAACATGGCTCAGCTGGTTGGAGCATCGTCCTATAAACTCAAGACCTGAGGGTTTGGTCCCAAGTCAGGGCACATGCCTAGGCTGTGGGTTCAGTCCCCATTGGGGCGTGGATGGAGTCAGCCAGTTGATGTTGCTCTCAAATCGATGTCTTGTCTGTCTGTCCCCCCCACTCCCCACCTTCCCCTCTCTCTCTCTCCCTCTCTCTGGAATCAAGTAATATATCCTCGGGTGAGGATTAAACAAATAAAAGAACTTTTTAATTGTTTTTTGTCTTTTCCCCTTCTCGAAAGGTTTTGCAGATCATTCCCGAAAGCATGTTTACTTCTCTTCTGAAGATCATAAAGCTTCAGACCCACGATATCATCGAAGTGCCAACCCGCCTGGACAAGGACAAGCTGAGGGACTACGCTCAGCTCGGCCCACGATACGAGGTGGCTCGTCCCTTTGACTCGCGCCTTTCGATAGTTCAAACCCAAACCCTCATGGGTCTGTGTCACCCGCCAAACCCCAGGGCCACCAGACCAGCTCTGATGCGTTTTTTCCTGCTATTTCAGTGCAGTCATACCTTCTTTGTCACAGTGTTGTGGTGTCACTTGAGGCCTGGCCGGCCTGAGTATTCTCAGAGGACGCGGTGGTCCGCTGATCACTGTCCTTGTGAGTGGTCCTGGTGAATCAGGCCTTACTCTCCTTGAGCCAGGTTGCCTAGACTCTCCACGACCTGCAGCCAGACTTTTAAGTCCAGGCCATAGCCCAGCAGCCTCGTTTGGGTCGTTCTTCCCAAACTCCTCTGCGTTTCTTTCTCCCCGCACTGCAAGGTGTGAGAAGTGAGATCAGCAGATTGCAGTGAGATGTCCAGCCTCCTCACACTTCCTCCCGTGTCCATTTCACACCCTCCGACACAGCTCCGAAGTGACATCATGAGTTTAGGTGTTCACGCCTGGGGTTTCTGCACTTGTTCTAACTGACACATACAGCCTCTGTCCACCTTACCAGTGTCTCCTGGTGTTGCTTGGGGGGAAATGTAGATGGTAGTAAGGGGAGATTATCTTCTTAGAGTCCTGGTGAGCCTTCCCTGCTTGGGGGGACCATGCTATTGAGTCCTGCCCTCCTTCTGTGCACAAGCAACTGGGGCCCACAGGAGGGGAAGTGATTGGTGAAAGCTTAAAGGACTATTCAGTGTCTTCTGACTCAGTTTCCCAAAATGTCTCTCAGTGGCAGCACAAGGCCTCACTTCCGGCCAGGACACATGCACGCCGGGTCCCCAAAGCCGCCGGCTCCTTCCTGTTGTCTTTGCCATCCCGGGGCCGTTAGCCAGTTACTTGAGCTTCCCCTGCCAACGGTGGGTCTTTTTATCTGAGGTGCTCACCAGCCACTCTTTCTTTGTTAAAGGTCGCCAAGCTGACCCACGCCATTTCCATCTTCACGGAAGGCATCCTAATGATGAAGACGACTTTGGTCGGCATCATCAAGGTAACGGCTTTGAGGCTGGCCTGGGCGGCCTGGGCGTGAGACTCTCAGTCTGAGGGGTTGTGCTGCTGTCACTGTGGGAAGGGGGGACAACACCCCCACCCTGTATCCCTGCTTTCATATTTAGCTTTGAGCTTAATATTACTCGTGTATTGATGGAGGAAGAGAGCATTAATATCCTTACTTTTCATAATCCCTAAGGGTTCTTTAAGGAGAATCCATTTTATTGACTCTTTTTAATAAAGAAAAATGGTTGATGCCCTTAGACACGATAGCTGGCTGGTTCTCGCACCCTTTCAGCCACCCTTGGGTTTTTGGGGGGGGTTGTTTGTTTTTTTAGTGTTTTCATGTTGCGCCCCAGGTGCAGGGAGTGGGATAATTGTCCCTTCCTTTCACTGTCAGTCCATCGCCAGCACCGATGCCTGCGAGCCCCTCTTCTCTTCATTTTTTTTGCCTCTTGTCCTGGACACCCACGCCCATCCCCCACAGCACCCACTCCTTATGTTTGTCCCTAGACATACAGTGACCCTTGTTGTTAGCATGTGTTATTTTACGTATACATGTGTGCTGTCATTCTTTCCTTAACTTTTCTCGCTAGGTGTTGCTTTGGAAATACATTCGTGTTGCTTCTTTCTGCTGCACAGAATTTCTCCTTTTACTTAACCATTGCCCTAGAGACAGGCACCCGTGTTGCCTAGTATCTCACCTCTGCTTCCCCTTATCATAAACGGCATCAAGATGAGCGTCTTCGAACATGTCTGCACGCAGGCCTGGACGGGAATTTTTGAACTCTGCGTGCCCAGAACGGGTCCCTGGGGCACAGAGCTCACCGACACTTAACTTGTCTCAGTGCGGCCAGGGCGCCTTCGGAAGTGACGGTTCCCTGCGTATCTGCCCCCGTCTTCCCCAGTGCTTGTTAATTCCCGCCGTCTGGGTTTGGCTCTCCCAGGGTGTAGGACGTGGTAGTTCACTGCTGTTTTAATTTTTCGTCCTGTAATCAGTGATGTGTCCATTCACATGGTTCGTTGTGCTTTTATTTACTTTTCCGTTTATCTGATATCAGAATCTGAACATGTCTGGTTTTTTGAAAACTAAACATTTCTGGTTTTTTGAAAACTATATTGAATTTATATTGAATATATTGAAACTATATTGAATAACCTAGTAATTCAAAACTATTTTGAATTACTAGGTTAACATTTATGTTAATAAAATCCAAGAAAATATAGGCGATGAATCTAGATAGATACAGAACTTCAGTGTGTATTTTCTGGAAGTGTATTAAAAGAAATGCTGTTTACTCCTGGAATATTCATAGAATCCATTCACCATGCTTTTGTCCTGATGCCAGTTTGACTCAATGGATGTGCAGAAGTTATACATCCAGGTTACCCCTTCTGATTAATCATGAAGTAGTGACAGCATCTTACATGCAAAATGACCCACAGGAGAAGGATGTGATAAAACCTAACAATTAGCAATAATCATCTAAAAAAAGACTGAGAAAAATGTAATTCTCTTGCCACGCACTTTCAGGTAATACAAGCAGAGGGGATATACTGACCCCATTCTGCCCAGGAGGCTGTTTCTGCCAGTCCAGCAGCTCGGGGCCCTTACTAATCTTGAACCTCCCGATGTTAGTATCTATTTCAAACTCTCATGGAAAGTGTAAGTTCACTTGAGTTAGTATGACTTAGCACAAGTGCAGTGTACACAAGGATATGCGTTCATTGTTCGAAGCAGCCGAAACAATAGTGACGCTCTAAGTGTGTATCGGGGAGGGACCCGCTGCCACGTGCATCGTGGTGCGCTCCCGCTGCCGACTGCTCTGCAGCTGTTCAGAGGGAGCCTGCCCCTGGGAGAGTCCCCGTAACTGAAGTGGAAACAGCGAGCTGCAGAACAGTGTGTGTGTGAATTATCCTATTTAGATTTTTGAAATTAGATATGTATTTAAAGGACAAATATGTGTGCATGTAAACGAACTGAAAAAGTTTTGGAGGGTCCATATGAAGATGGTAAACTGTTGCTGCATTTGGGAGAGGCCAAACTGTGCGGAAGGAGGTGTACGAAGGGCGTTCTCTTTGCCGTGAACACCCGATAGGCTAGCAGAAGTCGGGAGAATGCAAAGGTTCACTGCAGACCTTCAGATCCACCTTTTTCATTAAGTCTGTCCTTACAAGGAATGGTTTTTTGTTTTTTTTTTAAACTTCATGTTGCTTATTTGATTATATTCTCATTGACTATACTTACTTACAGTTTACCTTTTTGTTATAAAATAGAGCATAGATACTAAAAACTACAGAAACGATGACGTAGTTTAATGTGTTACTTTAAGGTAAATAGCATTCACTTTCACCAACACTCAAGTCAGGAGGCATAACTGAGCCAGCTCCCAGCCAGGCCCTCTTCCTCATGTGTCCTGACCCAACTTCAGTGTCTCTGTTCATGGTTTTATTATCCAAAAGTAAATCTCTCTACACTATAGTTTATACTTGCCCATTTTTTTAAAATGTGCCATTTCTTTTAGTTCTGTCTTAGTCTCCAGGTTTCTTTCTTTCTTTTTTTTCTTACTGTGTAACTGTTTAGAACTCAAGGCCTCTGACCTGTAGGTTCTCTGCAGTCTGGATTTTGCTGAGCTCATAGCCACAGTGTGTTCAATATGTTTTTCTGGCTTTTGTAATTTCTGTAACTCTCATTGCCGTTGTCTTCCTAGAAGTTTAGATGGGATCAAACCCAGACGGAGCCACCTTGATGACTTTTTGAAATAACAGTTCTTTACAAAGTCAAAAAAGAGACAAGTCTCCAAGAATTCAAAGGCACACCTTAAAGCTATTCGATGTTTTAGGGACCTTATAGGAGACTCTCTTTGGGAGAATAACAAAAGCTTCCTCATTACAGAAAAAAAGAATCAGCCAAATAAGCTTATACATAACAGATTTGCTTTCATATTTTATCTCCCTCATTACAAACACCATTCCGAGAGTACTGAACAAGAATTGTTAAATCTCACAGAGTAGTCCAAGCCGAAACTCGAGTTTGCCCACATGGCTACATGTAGGCGCCCTCAGATGACATCTGAGGGAACGCACACCAAATTCACATGCAGGGCCTTCATCCCACCCCCTCCTGGTGATAAGAAAAGGAACTTTTTCCTTTTATCGAAGTGATTAAACATGGGAGGCAACTTAAAACTTCCGATACCCACCACCTGTGGAGCGTCATGTTGTAAAATTGTCATCCTGTGTTTTACTGGGATAAACAAACTCCTGACGAGGTGATGGGTTTGATAATCTGTCCAGTCTGCCCAAGGTCACAGAGACAGGGAAGGAGAACCATCCCAGTCCTTTAGGGAAGAGGCAGAAATCTCCACTCTGGCTTCTGGACACCGTCTTTCCTCTGGACGCCTTCAGGGCCAAGCTTCTCCTCACTGCCGGTTGTTGCCCTTTGCTTTGCCCTCAGGTGGACCCCAAACAGCTGCTGGAAGACGGAATAAGGAAGGAGCTGGTGAAACGCGTTGCTTTTGCTCTTCATAGGGGATTGATCTTCAACCCTCGAGCCAAGGTATCAAGTGACCCGGAGGAGGCTCTCCCCTCTTCTGTCCGTTCAGTCCGAAGAATGGACCAGAGCACCATTTTTAACTGTTATGAACAAGACCTTTCCTCCTAACGTACACTTAATAGGTGATTTCTCAGTACAATCAACAGATGTGCTTTTTGCCCTATGTTATAATCTGTTTTAAATTCAGTTCTTTTTTCCTTCACCTGTTGAGGCCCAGATTTAAGAATAGAACTTATGTTTATGATTCAGTTACTTCTTATAGTTAAAAGAACTTGTTAACCCCAAAGCTGATAGGAACCATAAAGGCTGTAAGTTTTCGTTTTATTTAGTGTGTTTAGAAATACGGTAATTTGTCTCAGGGGAAAAAAGAAATAGGCCTGAAATTTATATATAGGGTTCTTTTCACCTCAGTAAATTCAATTTAAAATAGTTTGTGTTTCAAGATAGAGATACTCATCAAATGACATGGGAGAAATCAACATTCATTTTTTATATCCTTTTGTATGGGGTTTCCTTTCCAAATCAAGTTTATTCTTTGCTGGATGCTGGACATCAGCTCCCACTCATCCTAGATGGGTAGGAAATGAGTATTTCCAGAGCTAACTAGCACTGTGGTCTCTTAGTCGGCATTCATTTAGAGTCCAATATAGATATTAGTGGTTGACAGTCTACTGCAATGTAATAATATTTGTGTTTCCCCTTTTGAACAGACAAGCGAATTGATGCCCAAGCTGAAAGAGCTAGGAGCTACCATGGATGGGTTCCACCGTTCTTTCGAATACATACAGGACTACGTCAACATTTATGCACTGAAGATTTGGCAGGAAGAAGTATCTCGCATTATAAATTACAATGTTGAGCAAGAGTGTAATAACTTTTTAAGAACAAAGGTAGCTAAAAACATTTTAAAAAATTTTTGACTGTATTTGTTATTTCTGACTTTTAAAATACCCTAGACCTCAGAAATGCCGACAAGGAAGTTTATTTAAACAGTTGCTAAAAATCAGTAAGCACTAGAAAGTTGTGAATACCTTCAGGGTACCTTCAGGAGCTGTGAGGATTTCAGAAAAATTTATAAGACACCTGACCTCTGGGAGTTCACTGTCCTAAGGAGGAAGCAGCCATGATTAAATGGCTACAGCATGAATCCATTTGTTGTCGTTGTAATTCAAGTGTTCGAGAGTTCAGAAGTCAGCTGCGTTTGATTGGAGTATGTACCTAAGAGCAGAATTGCTGAACTATATGGTAATTCTGTGTGTGACTTCCTGAAGAAGCACCAGGCTGCTCCCCACAGTGCCCGCACTGTTTTTATTTCCACAAGTGACAGCCAACGGTTCAACTTCCTGATACCTCATGTCCTTGTCAACACTTGTTGTTTTCCTTTTTTTAAAAAAAAAATTTCACCCTCCGCAATGGGTGTGAAGTGGGACTTCACTGGGGTTTCAATTTGCACTTTCCTGATGACCAGTGATGTCAAGCATCTCTTCCTGGGCTTGTTGGCCATTTCCTGTCTTCCTCAGAGAAATGTCTACTCGAGTCCTTTGCCTGTTTCTTAATTGGATTATTTGAGCACCAAATTCTTAAGTATCACAGCAGAGAAGTGAGATTTTACAAAGTAGTTAACAAGGGGCTACTCCGTAGGCTTTTCCTTAGGGAATTGATGATTCCGGTCTTGAAAGATGAAGTGTCTTCCGACCTTATTACACGGATACCTGTTAACTTACGAGCCTGAAACCGGAAGTTCTGTATCTCTTCATATCCACCCTCATTCACCTTTCTCACAAATGCTTCTTTTCTAATCAGTATGATATGTGGCATTTTGGGACAACTATTAATATAGTTTTAAAATTCTCCTCTTTGAAACCAAGGACCATTCATTGTCACTCTTTATGCAACATTATTCTTGTAAAACTATGTGGGAAAAGCGTAACTAGGTTACCTTGCCAAAGACGTACTAAAAATGTGTTCTCTTCTTCTAGATTCAAGACTGGCAGAGTATGTACCAGTCCACCCATATTCCCATACCCAAGTTTGCCCCTGTGGACGAGTCTGTAACGTTTATTGGTCGACTCTGCAGAGAAATCTTGCGGATCACAGACCCAAAGTAGGTACATCTGACTTCCACTGGGCCTTGAACATCATGGACTATCGAAGTCTAAACAGGTGCTAAAAGGTGTGACTCAGGTCACACCTGTGTTCCTGCCACAGCAGGTTTTCTTCTAATGGGTTTATTACCCAAATTCACTTTTTTGAGACTGCATATTTTCTTCCATGTGACTGAGGTGACCCCAGGCCAAAGACCTGTAGATTGAAACAGCCCTGCAGTGTCTTTGGCCACCTGTAGTCTGTGCTTCTCTTGCTCTCCAGTTAACGTTCTACACACCTGGACCTGGGGACATCCCATAGGAAATGTTCTTAAAATTACAAATTGCTCATCTGTACCCCTTGGCACACACCCCATTCCAGTCACTGGGTCTTGCACTCGTCAGTTCATATCCTGACCTTTTGAGATTATCTGCTTGTTTCTCAGCCCAGCCCGCAAGCATGTTGGATAGTAGGAACTAGCATTTTATTGAGCACTAACACTATTGAGTTAGACGCCCAAGTCTAACTCTGCCCTCTTAACGTGACTCCAAAGAACAGCCCGATTCAGTGGAAATGAGTCCGTCAAATCAGGGACGTAGCACAGGGCAGACAAAGGTGGTGTAACTCGGGGTTACCTCCTGGTCCGTCATGCACCACAGCACAGAGATACAGATCAGATGGGGATGAAGTGGACATAAATGTAGATTAGCTGCCTTGGTACACAGGTCATTAAACAAATTGCGTCACTGTTGCTTTTCGTGCCCGAAGCCCCCACTCCTGTTGAGCCCTGCTTCTCCTAACGACGAGTCCTCAACTGCTTGGGTCTGGGGTGTGCTCTGGTTTTGTTCTAGAATGACATGTCACATTGACCAGCTGAACACTTGGTACGACCTGAAAACTCATCAGGAAGTGACCAGCAGCCGCCTCTTCTCCGAAATCCAGACCACGCTGGGGACTTTCGGGCTGAACGGGTTGGACAGGCTCCTGTGCTTCATGATAGTGAAGGAGTTGCAGGTGAGCCTTCTGGCGTCCGCTCGTATGTCCCGCAGCCCTGGGCACCACGAGGGCGGTCACCTGACTTCACTTTGGTCCTTTCCCGTGCTGACACACACAGGACATTCCCATGAGGCAGGTGAACGAGAATCAACTAGCATCCCTTGGCCGGCATAGTATTTTTATGGGTAGACGCCTTTGGTGACTTTCACCTTGGAAGGATAAGACTTCTTCTCTTTGGAACTGGCAACGATCGAGAAACGGGATGTTTCTAACAGGAACTGAAATTACCACTTCCCCGTCACCCCCCTTGCAGCGTGGTGGGGTTTAGGCCGGTGTGCGTCCCCCCCCAGCGTTTCATTAGCTGGGGTTCTTGCTCACTTTATTCACCGTGTTCGGTTCTTTTATTTTGCCTTCTTGTTGTAGAATTTCCTCAGTATGTTTCAGAAAATCATCCTCAGAGACAGAACTGTTCAGGACACTTTAAAAACCCTCACAAACGCTGTCAGCCCCATCAAAAGCATTGTGGGTAAGTGTTCTGGAACCAGCCCGAGGTGGAGAGAACGCTGTGACCTTTCCAAAGTCACTAAATGGAAAATTGTATTTTAACCTTTCAGCAAATTCGAATAAAATTTATTTTTCCGCCATTGCCAAAACACAGAAGATTTGGCCAGCTTATCTCGAGGCTATCATGAAGGTATGTTGTGGAGGAAAGGGTGATAATCAGTGCTGTATTTTATTAATTTCTTGTCATTTTTGTTGCCCAAAGAAAGCTACTTTTCTTTCCTTTGTCATTAAAACAAAAGTACAATATTTCAGTTTGTCATTGTTTCCACAGCTCATTCATTTCTTTAGCTTCCCCTCTAGGGCTGTTGTTGACTGTGCTTTTCATTGGCCTATTGTTTTCCTGTTGCTCAAGGAGTCTGTTTATTTCTAAAATGCCTTTTAGCAAGAGGTGCTTCTGCACAGGACACGGGAAGTGTCCTGCCTCGGTAACTATCGGTCCTCACAGACAAGGTCACAGACTGTCTGTGTGTGCACAGATGGGAAAGCCAGGCTGTCTGGGGCACAGGTCCTCCCTGCACCAGGCCCAGGGCCCTGGGTCTTTGGGGCGCGCGGTAAGGTGAGATGAGGACATTACTTTGCTGGACGGAGATTAGCTTTACTGTGGAACCCACTCCTCCACTCTCCTGCCTTGACACTGCCACCGCGGCTCCCAGGGACCCTTCGAACCCTCTGCGTGCCCTCCTGTCATCCCGTGATGACCCGAGACATCCAACAGCCCTTCATGGAACACCTGTTATGTCCGAAGCATAATCAGCTGTTGGGTGACACAGTTAAAGGAAACACCAGTGGCCTCCTCAGAAAACCTGCTGACATCCTGCTAGATTTCCTGGTGCAAAACTGGTTCCGGGTTAAAACAACCACATAGCAAAGGAAAAGTCTAGAAGGCCACAGGAACTCACAAAAGCTACCTTCTCTTGTTCCCAGTTATAGAAGTTGCTCATTGAAGACAGGACTCGTTGTCTTGGCCAAATTCACAATTTGTTTCCCATAATTTCAGTGAGTTGTTTATGGGTTGTGTGTTTAATTTGGAAACTTAGAATAGGTAACACAAGGAGCCTTGGGCTCTGCCAGGTGTCCTGTTACATGGGTCCGATGGTCCCTCACCAGGTGATTGCCGGGCAGTGAGAGCCAGTGAGGCCAAGCCTCTAGTTGCTGGGAAGCCTTCAGGGCGGAGTGAAGAATGCCCTGAGGTCGGACAGACCTGGCTCTCCCCTCGGCAGGTGGCCTTGGACGAGGCTTGGAAGTTGTCCGCTTGGTTGCCAGGTCGTTTGAAGCCAGTGGGTGTTCCAGACCACTGTTCTTTTTCATTGCTGGTGATTCATTAGTAGCCAAGTGTTGTATCTCAGTCAGGGATTTCCAGTCAGGTCCCCAAGGACAGATTTGTCATTTGGGAAGTAACCTGTGCCGTTCAGTAGTGAACATGGCCCCTAACCACGTGCTGATGCTGAGCCCTTGCAGCGTGGCTTGGGGAGAGGGGGAGCCAGGGACCGGGCCTTTAAATCTATTTCATTTTAGTCGGTTTAAATAAACGACCACGTGTGGCTAGTGGCTGCTGTATTGGTCGGTGCAACTTGAGAGAAATCGTGAAGGAAGTGATCGCCTGAGTTTCTCTAAGCAAACAACAGAGGAGCCAGGCTCCCAGGCCCCGTGGCCGCCTGGAGTGAGTGAGCACGGGGAGAAAGTGTCGGGCGCCAACAGTCACTGAGCTTTAAATAAGCACAAGTTGTGTTAAACTGGCTGGATTTCTGTTTCCAGTTGTAGATTGATACTTGTGAGGGAATCCTGACACAGAGTGTCCCGAATTAAACAAAGAATTACATGGACCAGATGCAAGGTCGGAGGTCCGTTTTTGAGGAGCCTAAGAGAACCCACAGTGTTCTTGGCCTTGCTCTGTTCTGATTTTTAAATAATGATATTTTTGTATTAACAGGAAGTTTCTTAGAAACAGAATTTTTTCACATTGACTTTTATTTTCCTCACATAAGTAGAGTAATAGTCTGGTAAGAATAGTGGGCAAAAGTAATATGTTTGAGATCATTTAACACTTAACTGTTAAAAGTACCATTTATGTAAGTAATACCTTTTCTTTGTTCATAGAGGTCTCTCTCTCTCTCTCTTTAATCCTCACCAGAGGGGACATACGTATTGATTTTAAGGGGGAGAGAGAGGAGGGGAGGGAGAGAAACGTCAGTCAGTGGCCTCTCTAACCTGTACCAGCCAGGGACCAACCTAGGTATGTGCCCTGACCAGGGATCAAACCTGCAGCCTTTTGGTTCACTGGATAATGCTCCGACCAACTGAGCCCCACAGGACGGGGCGACCAAACCAGTCTGTTTCCCTTGATCGCTCTTTGCTCCCAATAACTCAGAGGAAATGTGTTCATTCCCACCTTACTGTTGCTGGCATTATAAAACGGCCTCCTTTCCTGTCCCCCCTTCCCACTGCTAATCTTTTAGGGATACCTGTTCTAGACTAGAAAATAAAAAAATCTCCTGGCACAGGAAGTTAGTTAGAGTGTACTGTTGTTTTTGTGATGGGGACAAGTTTATGGGAACAAGCTGGACCTGTCTCAGACCACAGTCCCAAACGGTTTGCTGCCACCTGGCATAGGCATCTCCGGGTACCGTTTATGCCCACCGCCACGTGGGCATCAGTGATCCATCAGCCGTGTTAGTGTAACTCTCTGTCACAGATCTGTTCTTTTAAATGTCTGATAGTTACATTTTGTTACAACTGGCTCCCACGGTCCTTTGTGTTTTATTTTGTGCACACACAAAAGTTACTCTGAGGCCGTGCACATGTGCTCCACCAGGTTCCAGGAGGGGTTCAAGGTGCACAGGCGAGGACAAGGACCCAGGGTTAGGGGTTCACACTGTTAGAGGGGCCTCCTCGGTAGATTTTATGTGGGTTATTTTTTAACCCAGATTATGACATGATCTTCATTCCCGAGTGATGCGGAAGACTTCTGTCCACCACATCTTAGAGTATCAGAGGGAAATGGCACCCTTAAGTCTTGAAAAAGCCCATTTTAGGACCAGTGAAGGAGGTGGAGCTGATCCTGGTAGCTACTAATCTTGGAGTTTTATTCCAAAATATCAAAACCAGAACTCTGAAACAGACACCTTTAACACATAAAGCACTGACCACGAATGAGTCTCTTTGTGAAATACCAGACTTCGGGGCTATTTGAGGTCGATGCTCCTTGAACGACCATTGCCTGGTGCCCCGTGTGGGTGAGGTGGCTCTTGACCTCGGAGCCTGGGCAAGCGGCCCTGCAGTGTCCTTGTAGGACGGTGCGAGGCTCCACCGAGAAAGTGGCATCTTGGCTCGTGCCTCCTTCCGTCACTTCGAAACACTGACCCGTCCTACCTGCTCTTTCTCTTGCTTGTTCCCAGGTTGGGCAGATGCAGATTCTGAGAAAACAGATTGCCAATGAATTAAATTATTCTTGTCGATTTGACTCCAAACATCTGGCAGCCGCCCTAGAGAATCTCAATAAGTAAGTGCCAGCGTTTGAAAGCGCCAGCTGTGGGCCAGCCTCGTTCATTCTCAGTCGGCACCCCGGAGCCTTTAGCACCTGCTCTTTCAGGGTCTGGTTGGGTCAGAAGGCTCTGGATCATGGGCTTCCTTCCCATGGATAATCAAATCCGCGTTTCCTCAGTATTGTCCCTTGGTGCGTATGTGTTTGTCTCTCTCTTTTCTTTTTTTGATGGATTCATTTATTCAGCCAACATATACTGATCATTTAATACAAACCAGACACTGTGCTAGGTACTTGCACAGACAGAGAAAGCAGTTACAGTTGACCTTAAACAGCGTGGGTTTGCACTATGTGGGTCCACTGAGATGCACTTTTTTTTTTCAGTAAATACTGTACATGTTCTTTCTCTTAGGATTTTCTTAACACTTTCTTTTCTTTCCCTTTAAGAATAACATGTATAATACATATGAAACGTGTTAAGCAACTGTGTATGTTATTGGTAAGGCTTCTGGTCAGCATAGGCCATTAGTATTTAAGTTTTGGGGGATCAAGAGTTACACATGATTTTCAGTTGCTCAGGGGGTCGGTGATCCTAAGTTCCATGTTGTTCAAGGGTCAACTGTGTAACCAGAGTCCACACTTGACTCCCCACTGGACCGAGTCACTGACCATCCTGTGGGCGATTGGGAGTGTGTTAATACCACTAGGAGCGGCGCTGGGCACACATCCAGGGGTGCGGTCACATCCTCCGCCTCCCCAGCAATGCGCTCTCATCCCTGGCCGTCTACTTAAAGGTAAATAGTGCATACTTCTAGGTCGCTGAATCGGAGTCTCTGACAAAGTAGGTATTGAAAACAGTTCATTCGATTCATAAAACTTGAGTGGTCAGAGCACTTGATCTGGGTTTATCTCCAGAAGATAAAGTCATCCGAGGTTAAATTTTTCACACATACCCAATAACAGGCATGGCAACTGAGAATTAGAAGGCCAAGCCCTCATTTTCCAGATGAGGAAACTGAGGCCCTGGAAGATTACATCCTAGTCCGTATTAACTGTCGTATAAATGTAGTTAATCTCTAACACTTACCCCTGTTTTGCTTTTCTTCCACCTAGGGCTCTCCTCGCAGACATCGAAGCCCACTACCAGGACCCTTCCCTTCCTTACCCCAAAGAAGATAACACACTCTTATATGAAATCACAGCCTATCTGGAGGCAGCCGGCATTCACAACCCACTGAATAAGGTTGATGACTAAAATATCTGATGGTGCGGTGGGGGAGCGTGGGGTCCAAAAAGGTGATTTGGCCCGGCAGCCAATCACTTCGCTGAAATGCTGGGAGAACCTGGGTTTGATCCCAGAGGCTCCGTTCACTCAAGTCCCTGCCCTTCTGAGCTCCTCTTTCCCTTACGTAATAGGAGGGTGTGGTCACACCTTCCCCACCTGACCCTGGCTGTGGAAATCCAATGATACAGTGTTTGTCCAGCTCCTTAAAAAGCAAAAGGTGCTCTGTCTGTAAGAGATTAGTTTTAAGTTTCTCTGGGATTTGATACTTGAATTGCATCGGAATGGTGGCTTTGATGCTTCCCACCTGAAGATGTTTGCCTTCAGGGCTGACAGTCCTCACAAGTATAATCCTGAGCTACACACTCTTTCCAGCGATTCTGATCTCCAGAATCCTCTAAGAATGGAAGTGTTTTAACAAGTCACTATCAGATCTCATCTGATGGCAAAACCTCTTCCTATGAATGTTTGTGTTCTGATGACTTTGATTATAGGGTGTTAATCCAGACCCTGCATTACCTTTGGAAAGTCTGTAAAATGTGTACCGACCGTGGGTGTTCTCACCGAGACTCACAGGGACTCTGTGAAACGTGCCCTAGCTGGGGAGGGGCCTGGGCTCAGGGGTGCATCCCTTCCTGGGGCTCCTCGCCGGCTAGGGCAGAGCCCGGCAGAGCCCTGCTCCTGGCCAGGACACCACCCTGTGCCCAGGCTGGAGAGGAGGAGGGAGGTGGCCAGGTGTGCCCTGATTACTTCCTGCCCGGTAAACTGGGAGGGAGACTGCTCTGTGACCTTGCCCAGGAGAGAGCATCTGTCAAAGGAGACATCTCGCTTTCTCCTTATATACTGCCCCTTGCTGCTACACAGAGCTTCCCTTCTTTCTGCCACCCTCCCTCCTCCCTCCCTCCTTCTGCCCTTCCCTCCATCTTTGCCTTGGCCACTGCGTTTGCCTTCTGCCCCACACTCTTGCTCATCACCCTTTTCCCTCCCTTCCTTAGTAACATTCAGAGTATTGTGGGGAGCAGCAGAAGTCACTGCTAATCTCTCAACAAAACGTTCCTTTCCCGAAGGGCTCATTGTCATACAGTAGTTAGGTTTGTGGGGGTGGGGTCCAGTGGTGGTAAATAAAGCTGAAGGCAGCAAGGTAACGGGACCATCCTCGGTTTAGGGGGTCTGAAAAGCAAACTGAAATTGGATGGAAGCTTTTCTTCTGTTATGCATTTTCTGTGGTATTGTGTAATGTGGGAAAACACCCATTTTCTTACCTTTCTCTTTCCAGATCTACATAACAACCAAGCGCTTACCCTACTTCCCAATCATCAACTTTCTGTTTCTGATCGCGCAGTTGCCAAAACTTCAGTACAACAAAAACCTAGGTACGGTATGACATTTATTCTTTGCTATAAGTAGCAATATCAATAGATTAATAACTAACAGCACAGCTCTTTATATAGAATGCTATGTCCCATGAGCTCTTAACTAAATGCATGTTTATAAAATCCACGTCTTTAAACCTCTGAAATGTAAAGCCCCTTGCCTGATATGGGGACCGTGAATTTAATATCAGCCAACTGCGGTCCACCTTAATTTCCAGTGGTTAATTATTGAACTTGCAAAATGTGTGGGACCTTGGCCTCCCTCCTTTCTCTACTGTTCAGGCAGCTGATTATGGTGTCAAAGGAACTTCTTTTGGTTCGTGTCCTGTTCTTCCAACAGGGGTCACGTGCCCACTGTGTGTGTGGAGAAGGAACAGTACAGCAGGGAGAGTAGCAGGGGCGCTTCGCGCTTGAAGACACGTGAAAACTGATGAGAGGCTCTCTGGCCTTGGGCAGAGATCCTCAGCGGGAAACCTGGCCTTGGTGCCCAGCGCACTGCCCAGATTTCCACCTCCCACTGTCTCCACCACTGCACATTCTCCTCTTGTGTGACATTGAACATGGAGTTTCGAAATGCTTGCTAGATATTTTATCCAGCATTTTAGTTGTTTTCATTTAGGACAGTGGAGTAGTTTTGGGTATCTTATCTCACATGTCATGCTACCACTAATAGAAGTCACTTACAGGTGTTTTTACTCTCTCGTTTACATTTTTTATACCTTTACATTTTTCTACAGTTGCCTCAGTTGTATACTCCAAAGGACAGAGTGTTGGTGATTATAAAAAGAGTGGTCATTTTATTGTGTTGACTCCCTGAGGCCTGCTTCACAGGGCAGTCCAGAGTTGTGATTCCTTCCGGGTCACCACGTGCCAGTCATGGTGGGGCTGCAAACATGCTGACCCTCGGGAACGTTCGCCCTGAACGAGCACCACCAAAGTGAAGTGCCTGGCCTGGTGGTGTGACCATGACCTGTGTTGCCTTGCAGGGATGGTCTGCCGAAAACCCGCCGACCCCGTGGACTGGCCGCCGCTCGTCCTGGGACTGCTCACCCTGCTGAAGCAGTTTCACTCCCGGTACACGGAGCAGTTCCTGGCGCTGATCGGCCAGTTTATCCGCTCCACAGTGGAGCAGTGCACCAGGTACGCAGGGCCAGCCAGGAGTGCGTGGAATTGGGGTTACAGGACGGGCTGCCAACGTTGTGGGCTGAATTCCCCTTGTCAGCCTAGGAGAGATGGGGATTGGCTGCCTGCCCCGCCCTGTAAAGCAGGTCTGGGCACATCTCCTTCTTCGGAGGAATTCAAGGTGGGCCCCTCCCGTAGTGTCGCTGCCTCCCATAGAGCCTCCTGGTGCACTCACAGTGATTCTGTGTGAGTGAGTTGTGACCAAGATTAGTTTGGGGAAGAAAGTGCAGGCCCCTCCTCTGCCAGTGGGGGTGCTGTGCTCAGACCTCAGTGAGCCTGTGCGGGGCCCTCCTCCACTCCCTGGGGTCACAACCAGGGGGCAGCTCACACCCAGTCAGGGGGATGCAGGGGCGTCTTTGCCAGACCCTGGACACAGCCCGGCTCCTGGTGTGTCATGAAGTTTCTACTTAATACCAAGCTTGTAAGCCTTTCGTTCTTGCCCCCAACCCTGCAAATGTGGCTTTTCTGAGATAGAAAAAAAACTTAATTGCATGAGATGTTGGATCCTGAGCCCCCTTGTCTGTTACCCTAAAGGGTCAGCCTGACTAACTAAAGCCTCTGTTATGTTACACATTCCAAATCCAGAAGAAAACCACCTGGTCACTTTTGTCAACGTAACAAAGAGCGAGGCTGGGCTTCTGGGCCTCAGCTGGTTGGGTTTGATTTCAGGGACCATTTTGTTTACCTGCCACCGAGGGCCTGAATCAGCTCTCAGGTGTCCCTGGCAGGCAGTCATCCAGTCTCTGCTGGGTCTCGCCCATTGGTGAAGCCCTGGTGACCACCCAAGGCAACCCAGTACACCGGTGGAGACGTTCTCACCACCGCAAAGTTCCCAGTCACGATAAACGGGACGTGTCATCCCGCCTCTCTGGAAATGGCATTCGCTGGGCTTCCTTCCACCCTTTGAGATTGGACAGCGTGAGTGCAGCCTCCTCCCTCTGCAGCATCGCCTCAGTCGGTCACTCACCTGCTGCCCTGGGTCTTCTCCTTCTCTGGCTGCTCGCCGCACTGGTGGCCGCCTCTGGGGTTCTGGTTTGCTGCTGCCCATCTTAGCGTGTTCTCCCAAACTTGTACCCAGATTCCAAATGCTGCCCCGTTGGAGGGAGGGTTGTTACGCTGTCGAGCGCAGTGCACCTAAAATGACAACAGGAGGAGCTCTACGTCCGTGTGTGCCGTGGCTCATGGTGACTTTATGTCCTTTTTAAATCCTGGCATCTTTTTCCCACGAGCCTCAGTCAGACCAGCTCTTCCCCATCTTAGTTACTAGTTAGAACAGCAAGCACTGGTTGTTTTTCTAGGACATATGGTCAGTCTTGCTTCAAAGGGCCAATTTTTTAACAATCAAAAAAGAGAAGAGAGCTTGAAAAGATGGGGAAGTCTCAATAATGAAATTGTAACAATCACAAAATAAGGTCAATTGAAAAGGAGAGCAGTAGGCCCCTAAAATCGGATGCCTCTCGTCCAGAACCTTGGGGAGAGGAGGCCGAGGACTGGGTTCAAGTGGTGCAGGGTGGTCGTTTCCAGTCACCTCCACGCTGGCCACGCCCAACCACAGTGCGCTGTCTTGAAGAGTTGGCGAACTCTCGTTCACTAGTGACTGCAGAGGGTGGGTGTGGCTCCGGCCCAGCATGTTCCTCGCAGCCGTGAGCGAGGTCTGCGGGACACAGGAGTCCAGCTGCAGCTCAGGGGTTCTGACTCGGCCGAGTGGAGTGACGCAGGAACCCGAGATGAACGGAGGCACCGTCCTTCCCTGGTCCCAAGCAGAGCAAGTACAGATCGAGCCCTGGCCACACACGGAGAGATTGAGAACTGTGGGAACTTACCAGGTGCAACCATCCTAAATGTTCTTTTTTAATATTTTTTAAAATCATTGTGTATTGATTTTTTAAGACGAGAGGAGTGGGGAAATGTTGATTTGTTGTTCCACTTGTTTATGGTTTCATTATGTGACTCTTGTGTGTGCCCTGATCAGGGATTGAACACTGGCCCATCGGGACGACGCTCTAACTGAGCTGCTCAGCCAGGCCTTAAGCATTCTTTTCAAAAGCAAAACAGAATCATCAGAGAAGTATATTAGTAATCCAGGACCATCCAAAATTCTTTGTTATTTTGAAAATGCCACTCTGTATATAAATTAGAACTTAGTTTTCCCCTAAAAACTCATTTTGATTGAGAACGTGAGCACCACGAGAAGCCTGCCGTGCACTCGGCTGCATTCTCAGCTCCAGGGAGTGCTTGGCGACATAGTGGTATGAATGAGCGCGTGAGTAGGATCCATCCAGAAAACTGGGAGATGGTGTGTTTGTTTGACACCCTCAAATATACAGTAATGGTCCAGGCACAGTCCCAGGTACTGGAGACAAAACAATGAAGACATGACCCACACCCTAAAAAAACCAGCACACAGAGGACTGAAAATTTCAGAGGGTTGGTGGAAGACACCAAGTGTCCTGAGAGCAAAGAAAAGAGCCATCTGCCCACAGGAGCCAGGGAGGACGTCAGAGGAGGAGGTGCCCGCGTCGGGGCTGGAAAGGTGTCTGGAAGTTTACTCTCAGATCAGCCCGCAGAGCAAGTGTAGCTGCAGAGTCTGGAGGGCACGGGAAACTCTGGCCTGTCCAGGGACCTGCCGGCCTTCGAACCGCGAAGTGCCGAGGGGGCACAGAGATGAGTCCGGACAGACGGCCGGGGCCGCATTGCAAAGGTCCATGTAAACCAGAGAAGTTCAGGTGTTATCCTGCTTCTGCTCCGAGGGTAGGTGAGCAGGATAATGACCTGACAGGAGTCGAGAGGATGTTCTGTAGATTTGTTTCTTCTTTGACTCCACTGGTGCAGTGTTTCAGTGTGTCGGCTCAGGGTCTCCCACGTGCAAAGCAGTGAACTGATCCTGACTGTTCTCTGTCACAGCCAGAAGGTACCCGAAATGCCTGCAGATGTTGTGGGTGCCCTTCTGTTCCTGGAGGATTATGTGCGATACACAAAGCTACCCAGGAGGGTAAGTGATAAGAAAAGAACACTTTTAGTGCCCTTTTGGTGAAAAGACGGTGCTAAGAGTGGCCCCGGACTCACAGGGAGTGAGGTCCAGCAGTGCACTTCCGGGGAGGCCTGTGCCCTCGCCAGTGCTCTGCCCACACCTCCGAAATCTGCCCCCCCCCATGTTACCTGCTTTTCAGGAAGACAGAGTTGAAGGCAACTTCCCTCCCTTCTCGCTGTCTACCCCACCCTCCTTCGGCCAGCAACTCAGCCAGTTCAGGAGGTGAGGCGTGTGCACCGGGAGAGAATTCCCTCAGTGGCCGTTGTGCTCTTTCCTCTGCAGAGTAACCTGATTAAATTCACGCCGTGGCTAACATTGTATACAACCGCCGTTTCTAGAAATGACACACTACTTTTTACCTTTTGAGAATTTTTTTTCCTCTTCCTCACTAGTAATTCCATTTGGGTGAATTTTAGCTCAAGGTGGGGAGCTTGGTATTAAAATATGAAAGATTTTTGATAGATGCTGAAAAGCCATTCTGATTCTTAAAACTTAGTAGGTTAGGCATCAAAGATCCTTTTTTATAACAAACACCAAAAACGGCTTAAAAGTTAACTGGCCCTGCCATACTGAATAGTGAGACAAGTGGTGTTCTCATTAAAGGCAGGGCTGCAGCTGTGGTACACGGGTGAGACAGTAAAATAAGTACGCCGGGTGGGAAGAAGACAAATCTCTCTACTGAGGATCTAATTGTCTGCCTTGAATATCCACCAGTCTGTGAAAAGTGATTAAGAGTTCAGAAAAGCTGACTGTGTCAACAGTGGATAAGTAAATCCAATTCTATAACCAATTCAAAAATATAATGCAGAAAAGCTACTATTCACAGAACTTACAAAGAAATAATACAGCCAAGAACAACTTCTTGAAGGAATATGAAGAACAACTTAGAAAAAAAACTACAGAATTTTAAAATACAAAACTTCGAAGTCCATGTAGAATTCTGAGTGAGGAGACTCATATCATAGAGGTATCAGTACTTTCTAGTTTATAGATTTACTTGCAATTATAACTAAAATCACAGACACTGTTTTTAACTTAGGGAAAAAATTGTTTTAGAAATTTCATAGGACTTGGACTAAAGTAAGATGTGGAAAAAAGAATAAAACATACTGTACCAAATATGAAAATATAAGACTATATAAAAATCAAAATAGCATGGTACTAGTGTAAAATAGATGGATCGGTAGACTAGAATGTGCAGCCTAGAAACAAATTCTAGCACATGCAATTTGTATAAGGAAAAGTAGCCCTCAAACTAGGGGAGGAGGGGTATTTCAGTCAATAGCACTGAGAAAGTTAGTTTATTATGTGGTTGAAACATAACAAGTCTCTTCACATCTCCCATGTTTCAAACAAAATAAACAACAGAGTTAATTTGAAAAATGAAACAAATAAATGAGCAGATATTTGGCTAAAATTAATGTATCAGCTCTTTTAACTTCCCATGTAAAACACCAAGGGAGAAAACCATAAAGAAAACGATTTAGAGATTTGACCTCTTATAAATGTTAAATGTAATTCAACAGTGCTGTTAAATGTCTCTTAATTTAAAAATTGGAAAAAGGATTAACAGAGACCAGTTTCCTTGACATACAGTGTGCTCTTCACACCAATAAGAAAGAAAAAAACAACCCAATCCCAACAGGAAAAGGGCAAAGGATATTAGCAGGCAGTTTTTAGGAAAAGAAATATAAATGGCCAATAGGCATTTGTAAAGATGCACAATCTGACCTCTATTCAAGGTCAAAGTCAAAATATCAGTAAGATTACTATTTCCACCATACAAATTGGTAAGAAGTTAAATGTCGGGTCAGTAGCACTTGGAAGGTTGGAGAGACGGTACTTGGTCCAGTCAGTGGGAGTGCAAACTGACTCCCCCTTCCCCGGGAAAGGGAAACTGGGCTTTATCTACCTTAAAAAATGTTTCATAATTTACTTCCCTGATCCCAGCAATACCACCGCTAGGAGTATGCACCTTGGCTCACCACAGTATGTGTGCAAGGATGTTCATAATATGAGATTTAGCAGCGGTAAAGGACACAAGATCAGTTCCTAATTGTGTGTGTGTGTGTGTGTGTGTGTGTGTGAGTGACCTGGAAGAATTCAATGCAAAATTAGTTTTTTCTAAAGGATTGAGATCAGAGTCTTTAAAAACAATGTATTTTATTTATTTTAAAAGAGGGGGGAGGGAGAGAGAGGGAGAGAAATATTGATCACTTGCCTCTTGCACAGCCCTTACGGGGACCTGACCACAACCCAGGCTTGTGCCCTGGCTGAAATCTGTCGACCTTTTAGTTTGCAGGCTGGCACTCAATCCACTGAGCCACACCAGCCAGGAATATATTTTTTATACTCCTGCATTTGCTAAATTTTCTCTAGTTAGGTGATACCTTTATAATCAGAAAACAAACATTGCTCTTACAAAGTATCCACTTCCAGCACGTGAAGGGTACCTAGCTCTGTATTCCACCCAGTCTGCCCCTCGGGGCTTCCTCTGCGAACAGGCAAGGGGGTGCCCTCCTGGGCCTCCCTCCTCTTCCCCCGCTGGCTCGGTCACTTGCCAGACTTCCTGTTCTTCCTAGAGATGTTACTTCTTAGTGCTTCCTAATCAGAGTGCCTTTAGGAACGCAGATTTGGAGGAAGGGGGGAGCTGGGCAGCCCTCCTGAGATGGTAGTAGTGCCGAGAAATTAGGACAGACGACACCAGGTACAGAGGCAGTGAGTCCAGTGCCGAATCAGAGCAGGCTGTGGCTCACCCTGCTCTGAGGGGTGTCTCAGTTCAGGTTCCACATGAGGAGTGAGGATTTGCTCTGAATGACAACACTATGAATAATATAAGCCCTTTTCTCCTTTTAGGTTGCCGAAGCACATGTGCCCAATTTCATTTTTGATGAATTCAGAACAGTCCTGTAACTTTTTCTTCTGCTACTTCTGCGATGTAAGGATTGTCCCTACACCTTCCCACTATCACTAACTAAAATGATTTAAGAGGATGAAACTCCACTGCTCACATAACGGCATGTTTTCCTCTTATTGTGGGAAACACTGGACTTTCTGAGTAAGATGACTCTCGTGGAATTAGATAATAGAATACTGTTTAAAACATGATATTATGTGCAATTTCTATCATGTAGAAGCAGAACACATTTTTGTACTGCCTCTTGCAAATGCTGAATGTAATGAAGTATAAATCCATTTAGCTTTATGTTCTAAAGAACTATCTGTGCAACTCCAGATTTTCAGTAAAATAGTATTGTCAATACCCAAAGTCACCTTTCTGCTTACTCGAAAATTACATATTCACTGTGCAAAATGCCTTGTCTGGGAGGTAAGAGATGAATCTGGTAGGCGCGCTGGCAGGCACATGGTGATAGAGTAGCCACAAACGCAGTGACCAGTCTATGGGCTGCTGACCATGGGCGTTTCTCGGTGTCTGAGACTCACTGTCCTCTGCCAGTGCCAGATACCCTCAGGGGTTCACAGCCTCCCTTCTGTGGGACTGCCCAAAGCTGCTCCTTCCACCCTCTCCTTCCTTAGCAACCCCTGAGCCTCCCCTCCCCCAAGCTCCCACACCAAGCTAGCCAGCCATTAGCCCTTTTTGTCTTGGTAGCAGGTTAACCATTAGCTTTAACTCCCTGCCCTCCACCCCCATAAATCCTCAATCACTTCTACATGAAATTGCCCTGAGGGGGACCACTTCCTGTTGTGGCAACTGGAAAAGAGCAAGAGATGTTTTAGCCCTGTGCTCCTGAGGAGAGGAGAGGAACAAGATGAAAGAAAGAAATGGAAAGGTGCTTAAGTCGGTTTAGCAAGTTGCAGGGGAATAAGCATCCATCTGTTGTCCGGAGCCGGGAGTGTGAGTCCTGGTTCTGCCCCCAGCTGGACTTGGGCCCCAGCTGGCCTGTCAGCATCATCTGTAAAATCAGGGCTGGCTGATTTCTTAGGTTCCTTTCCATTGTTTAACATTATGACAAGTTATTTTTCAGACTCAAATCCTAAGAGACTGAAAAGCCCTTGATTGCCTTCTTGTATGAATGTGATATTTTCAGAGAACTCAGAAAAGAACCGTATCAGCTTGCGTCACTGGATAGACGTGGAAAATTAGGTCCAGAGATTTAAGGCAAACTTCCCCGACGTCAGGGTGAGGACAGGTTTCCCTCTGCATTCTGCATCCCACCATCGTTCTCTTTTCCATTATCCTGAAACTACGTAAGGTCCACAGCAAAAACCAAAGAGACAGGAGGCCTCGTTCTTCGTTTTATTTGTGTGTCCTGCGTCCTCTCATTCCAGATAACTGAATGCAGAACTGTTCTGTTTTAGCACTAACTTATGGTAACAATCATTTCTTTTAAACTATCTTACTTGACTGTTCATTTTAAATTGAAAATTAAAGTATATATTTACATGTTTATGTACAAATAACTTCAAAAACAAATTACTCTTAACCCTGGTCCAAGAGTTTCCACTTTACAAATGGTATATAGTACTATGCTGCATAAATCCTCTTCAAAACGTCTCTCAGACTTGGTGAGTTCCAAATATTCATTCATGGATGATGGTCCCCCTCTAAGCTTAGTGAACCAAGTACTTCATTTCCGAGTAAATTAGAGGAAATATCACCGAACACGCTTTGTACAATAGAGCAGTGCTGCTGAAAATGGCTCGGGGTTTTGTAATCCAAGGTTCCGACTTAAAACAAAAATATGAGGCATAGACTGCAACAGCAAAGAAGTGTCCGATTAAAACCAGAGGGTTAGGAGACAGTCTGTAAAAGGAAAAAATACAATATATATTGATAAAACTCAAATCAAATTTACTGTAAAGAAGTTTCTATTTGTGTAGTATCTATAAAGCTAAGCACATTCTACACCTTCGAGGACTTTATAAGCTTGTGTCTCTCTGCCTGCTAAGTCTGATGGCGGGAACAAAATTTTTTAAAGTATTTTTACAAGAAACTACTTGGAATATACCCATTGGAAAATCAGTCACTCTGGGAGCCTAGTCTACATAAGTCACGTGTTTTGAGCTGTTCCTTTCGGTCACCTTGCGGCCCCGGTGTGAACGAAGCACCCGGGGGGAGGGCCTGGCCTAGTGGCACCAAGGCTTCCGAACAGCGGCACTGGCGTTCAGGTACAGATGAATGAGAAGAAGACAACATCTGCGCTGCCAAGATTAATACCGAGTTTCTTGAGGCCCTGTACTTCAATTTTTTTTTTTATCTCACCAGAGGGTGTTTTTTATTGATTTGAGAGATAGAGAAACATTGATATGAGAAACATCAATCGGATGCCTCCCATACACACCCCACCCAGGGATCAAACCCGCAACCCAGGTATGTGCCCTGACCAGGGATCAAACCCACAAGTTTTTGGTGCAGGGGACGATGCTCCAACCGAGTCACCCAGCATGGCTCAATCAAATTAATTTTTAAATACAAATTTCTCAAATTATCCATGGCTCCCCTAGCTCAGATCATGCAGATTAACCCATATGCAAAAAAAACAGCTTCTGTGATAATCACGTGTTTTAATCGAGTGCTTTACCCTCATCCACCCCCCACTTCCAATCTACGCCGTTTCTCAGAACTAACACAGAGCAAATGTTGCCTTTTTCCATTTATCTGGGCTAACTTCTGCTTTGCACACTAGTGAATAAAATGACAATCTTTTCATTATAAAACACATAAGGAAGATAAATTTGCAGCCGTTCATAAACTGAAGAGCCCTAAGAAAACTGGGGGGATCTGTTTCCTTGGTATCACCAAAGCAACTTACACAGAGAGCAGCCCAACGGGACCAGCAACACACTCGCCGCCAAGTTTGAAATATAAAAAACAGGCTTTTCTCAGCTGATGTAGAGAATCTAAAATGGAATTTTAAAATTACTCTCAATCAAATTATTTATACATTTATGTTAGGGTTCTAATGATATGTCAGAACAAATGAAGATGTAACAAATATCAAACCTGTAATTTTTTGAACAATCTAGCCTTAGAACTCCAACAACCCGAGATTTCTTTTACATTCCACCATCAACAACGTGGACAGTGGCACACGCGTAAATTAACTTTCCTGTTAATAAATGACTAACTTTTCTGTTAATAAATGACTGCACCAAAAGTGTGGGTCCCACAAGTCGGGGTTCTTTAAACTCTTTCCTTGCTTATGTTGTAAATTCTTTAAACGATGCAAAATATTCTGTAAACACTTTCTGTTATAAAGTCACAATTCTGGAAACCAAATGCCTTGTGTGAGATGCCCAATAAGCTATAACAAAAAATAATGCCTCATAGATATGAGTATTTTACACTTTTCAAAGTCATTAAATCTTTACAATATAGTATAATCAATCCATAACCTGTTTTGTTATTTTTAAGTAGCTTTTAAAAAATATTTATTTTTAGACATAGGGGAAAGGAAGGAGGAAGCGAGGGAGAGAAACATCAATGTACGGTTGCCTCTTGCTCACCACCCCCTCTGGGAACCTGGCTCACAACCCAGGCACGTGCCCTGACTGGGAATTGAACCAGCGACCCTTTGGTTTGCAGGCAGGCACCCAATTCACTGAGCCGCACCAACCAGGGCTATTTTATTAGTTTAGAATCAGTGTTCTTTTCAGGTCTGCGTACATTTTTCTTTACAACCAATAAAATGGGATGCAGTTGGTAAACATGTGCTCCAATAAAGCGCTCCTTCCTCCAATCTTTCATAACTTTTGTTGTTTTATTGACAGATTCAAATTCATAATGTTAAGAAACTCAAAAGCTTAGAAAAGTTTTAAAGAGCAGAGAAAAACTCACAACTGAGTTCTTTTGTTTTTACTTGCCTAATCAGCCATTTAACTTTCTCACCAGTTAGCAAGAGGTTTGGCAAATCACCATCAATGAGGTTTTTTTTTTTGGGGGGGGTGTTTATTTTAACAAGCGTGGTTATAGAAGCTATAGAAGGCATTTGTATTATATCATATTTTGTAGACAGATCACCAAACCACAGATCACTAAAGCCTCAGGGAGGTCATACAAATAGTTGTTTTGTGAGTATGGGAAGTAACGGGATTGGAGTTATATTTAGGGAGAAACTAGAACCTAAAGGTCTAGTGTCATTAACTGGTTTGTCCACTGCTGTCACTTTCCTCTATTCCTAACACTGGTTCTGCTGAGTCATGTTCTCCTTAATAAACAGACCGACTGCCACCTCTCTACAGTGAGTGTGAAAGCAAAACAAAAGCATGGAAAGATTTCAAATGCGCAAAAGGTGGGTGCATTCTGCTACTTGTGCCTTGCAACAGGGGACAGAATCCAAACGTGACCCGAAGCTCACATTCACTTCATGAAACACCACATTGAGAGGACACCCGAAACTAGCGTTCAGGAGAAAAAGAGGAACAACTACTTTGCTTTCAGTTCATGGCCAGAAAGATCCTCTATCACGGTTTTGTGCATCTAAGGTAACGTATGCAGAATCTGGTTTGGACCAAGGGAATTAAAAAGAACAACACAACACTGCGGTGCTGCTTGTGAGGGTGTCTGAGGGAGGGCCACAGCCACGTCTAACAGGCGCGTGGTGGTGCTCGCGCATGGAGTTAAAAATGACTACCAAACTTGAGTCAGCAAACTCAGGAAACTTTCTGTTTCTGTCCTAATCACTAATTTTTTTGGGTGAATAAGTTCTGTTCCTGTGCTATAGATCTGTAATTCGGTAAGATTTATTTTTTTAAATCTGCACTTACCATCTGTTCCAGAAAATAATTCATACAGAGCCTGAGCAAGGACATTCACAACAAAGGAATGAGAAGTTTTTCTTGACCAGTAGAATGATTTTTTGGCCTAAAAGAGAAAAAGATCATTTACTACATGGTAAGGAAGGAACAAAAGCAAGCACCAACTGACACTGATAATTCCTTCAAATTGATATTGATCCTGAGGTCCGTTATACGTCATTATGCCTATGGTTTACAAAATAAACAAAAAAGATCTTCAGAGCAATGGATTATGTGACTCTGAGCTGAATTGACAATCACTATGAGCAACATGGCCGATGCCATCCAGGGTTACCCAATGCTCAAATACAGGAACTGAGAAATTCTCTTTAAGAGTCACAGCTTGCAAGTCGGGTCCTTTAGGCACAGGATGGCCGGAGGACCGGGCAGCACCGGGCTCCCAAGTACACAGCTCCCCATCGAGGCCCCGTGCTAATCAGGCCCCATTAAGAAACCTATTTTGAGACATTTTTTTTGTCACAGAATAACTGACTACCTTACCTGGGAAATAGCTGCATCATCATAAAGGTCAGGGATTCCCTTTAACAATTTTCTCCACAGTTTTACATCTTTAAAAGCAACAGTCATTCCTCCTCCAGTAAGAGGATGCCTGATATTATATGCGTCTCCCAAAAGAAGGACACCTATAAAAAGATCATTTAGATTATGACATCATTCTGGAGCATCACTTGAGACCCCCCTCAAAAAAGACTATGTTAATTTATAAATACTACTAATATGAGTTAGTAAATAATATTGTGAAACTACAAGGGAACAAACAGAGATCGTGACTAAAATTTGTTGAGGCAAAAATTCAAGAGCTGATTCAATCAGTAGCTTTTGGGCACCTAACGTGTGCCAGATGCTGTGAACACAGTGAGAGAAAGAGTATGGTCCTTGCTCCCATGAAACCCACGTGCAAATCCAAGGTGGAATCAAACAGTGTCAAAACATCTATGAGACCTCTCTTGTGAGAAAAATAAAATAAAAGAGCCCACAGGTATCTAGGCATTACAAGCAAGTCTTCTAACAAGGGGAACAAATAAAAAGGCCTTTGACATTTCACAGCAGCCTTCGCCGCCGGCACACTGCAGAGAAATGCCTGTACAGTTCTAACGAACCACAGTGTAAGGGCCGGGAAGATTCCACCCCAACACACTGTGGCTCCAGCTGAAAGGCGTGGGGTAGATGTTCTCAAAACCACCTGAAGTTAATTCAGGAGAATAAACCTTGGTTGAATCTAATCTGAAAATTAGCCCCTGGTTCCACAGCTGCAGAAGCAGGAAGTGCCACAGGTGGACACTGCGTGCACCTCCTGAGTGGGCTGCCCGACTCTTAAGAGTCCAGGTCCATTGTCAGCCTGGTGCGCCTGCAACTTTCAGACAAAGCCTTTGTTTAATTTTGTCTGGGAGAGCAAGTGTTAAGGTGGTAGAATTATGATAACTGTTTTCCCGTAATGCCTTAATATACATTTATAACTATAGAAAACACAACCATAGCAGCTTTTTAAAAGGTAGCTCCTAGACATTAAAATACTGTATGTGTTACTCAGACACCATCACTACAAATCCCCTACAAACGACAGCCAGCGTTCCTGGTTCCGGCTGCACCGAACACTTCCAGTCCCGCCCCTCGTTTCTAGTCCCTGCGGGGCTGTGCTGCCCCGCACGCTGTGCACAGCAGTCTGCCACTGGCTTCCTTCTGCTCCACATTATGATTCAGTGTTTTACACCTGCTTTTCCACAGTGAGCTACAGCCCCTTCCTGTTCTGGAGCCGAAGTGGATCAACAGCTTCCACTCAGCCCTCTCGGGGGGCCCCACCCTCCTGCTTCCAGTGCAGCTCCACACGCCCCCACTCTAATATCCACCAGCACTTCACACCCACGTGTCCACAAGTGAACTCATCACCTCTCCCCACACTTCCCTCAATTTAGGGAGTCTCTTCCCTGTATTTCCAATGTCAGCAAATAGTTGGCAAAATTTTCTAAGCCTGAAACCCAGAATCCATCAAGATGCCTCACCCTCCCTTGCTACGATATCCAATTATTCCCTCAGTTTCATGCATTCTGCATCCTAAATATTACCCGATTCCATTTGTATTGCCACGACCCTATTCGGGCCTTTCAACATCACTCACACGGAATAATTAAACAGCCTTACTATCAGCTTCGGTCTGCACTGTCCTCCCAATCCTCCTTCCACAACATGTCAGAGTGCTACTCTAAAACAAAAATCTATCATGACACTACCTTGATTAAAACTTTACAGTGAAGAATCTAAAATGAAGCAAAGAAAACAATCCCATCTACAATAGCCTCCAGAGGAGTAAAATAGGAATAAATTTAACAACTAGAACACAAACCTTAAACTCTAAACACTACAACGCACTGCTGAACACCTGAACTCTTACACAATGGCCAGTCGGATTCCGACGCGAGTCCTGCACTTCACTGGGGAGGTAGCAGTCTCTTCAACAAATGCTGAGGGGACATCTAGATGCCCCTTCAAATGAAGCGGGACCCCTTCCTCACACCGTAATTTAACTCAGACCAAACACTGCAGTGTAACAGCTAAAACTCTAAAACTTTTAGAAAATAGAGGAGTGAATTTTTGTGGCACTGGGCTGGGCAAAGCCTTCGAGATTCGACATCAAAAGCACAAGCAACAAAAGAAAATGATAAACTGACTTCGTGAAAATTAAAAATTTTAATGGATACCCTCAAGGAGGAGAAAAGACAATCCAAAGAATAAAGGTTTTGCAAATCATGTATCTGATAAGGGATTTATATATAGACAATAAAAGGAACTCAAAAAATTTTTTCATTTGCCCAATTAAAAAATGTACAAAATCTGAATAGACATTTGTCCACAGAAACACAAATCACAACCACAATGAGGTATCACTTCACACCTGCCAGGATGGCTACGAGCAACAGACAGTAACAAGTGTCAAGGACATGGAGAAATTAGAACGCTCACACACTCCTAACGGGGATGTAAAACGGGCTCCAGCAGCTCCTCAACAGAGCTGCACAGGTACCACACGACCGAGCAATGCTACCTGTCGACCCAAGAAAAATGAAAACATGTTCACACAAAAATTCATACACCGATGCTCACAGTAGCATCGTTCGTAATAACCAAAAGTGGAAATAATTCAAATGTCTTATCAACTGATGGATAATCAAAACGTAATACACTCACACATGACCTATTATCTGGCCATAATACCCAGTGAAGCAAATGAAGGACGGACACATGATTCCACAGGGATGAACCTCAAAGAGGCCAGTAACCAAGGACCACATGTCAGTATTATATGATTCCGTTTACAGAAAATGTTAAGAATAGGCAAATCTGCCCTGGCTGGTATAGCTCAGTAGATTGAGCCCGGGCCTGCGAACCATGCAATCGCGGTTCGATTCCCAGTCAGGGCACATGCCTAGGTTGCAGGCCAGTTCCCAGTGGGGAACATATGAGAGGCAACCACACACTGATGTTTCTCTCCCTCTCTTTCTCCTTCCCTTCCCCTCTCTCTGAAAATAAATAAATAAATTTAAAAAAAAAAGAATAGGCAAATCTATACTACAAAAAAGCACTGCCTTGGGCTGCGGGTCAGGAAAAAATGAGGGTTGACTGCTATGGGTCCAGGGTTCCTTTTGGGGGTGATAAAAACATCCTAAAATTGATCGTAGTGATGGTTGCATATACCTACAGATCTACTGAAACGAATGAACTGCATACTTTAAATGGGTGAACTGTATGATTTGTGAAGTATGCCAACAAAGCTATTGTTAAACACTTTCCAATGAACTCCATTGTCTCTAGGATTAAAACTCAACTTTAAATAAACGTCTTACCTTTTCACTACTCTGACACCTACCTATCCAGTGCTCCAGCCATAGGAAACCACTTGAGTTCAAAGTGCAACCTTTTCTCAGCCATCCAGGCCCCTGCAGGTGTTATTTCATCTACTTAGAAGTCCCTTATCTCACTGTCCACCTACTGGCCCCACCTCCAGCTTGACTTCCTGAACAATGTCTTCCCCAACCACCCTGCCCAGTTCACAAGCTCCCCTCCCTGCCTGCACACCCCCTCCCGGTGAGTCCACGGCACCGAAAGTGGGGTTTTCTCGCAGCTGTCAGTGGTGGTCTGGAATTATCTGTCTATACTCACTTAACTAGAAAACTTAACCTCCTCTAGATCAAGAACTGTATTTAACTCTTGTATCGCCAGGGACCAGCACAATGACTTATATATACCCTCAATATTAAATAACTAAAGATAACATAAAACTAATTTTTGTATTAGTAATGTGTCAATGTATAGTAACCAATTCTCTGTCCCACATGTTATTCCCAGCAGCATAAATGTAACCATGTGTATGTCATTTGCAATATTAAATTTGAATATTTGCAGTAACCTTCACAAAAGTAAGTCCAACAAATTAATACCTCGTTTGTTTACCGGTGACGAAGGAAGGAAGCTTGCTGGCATAGACCGAAAACGAGAATTCTGAGTCGCTTCTAGAAATGGTTCTTTCAAGTGATCTGCAATAAATGCCACCCCACCAAATACATGGTTTATAACATTTCAATTTCTGATTATCTCACTTTCTTATCGAGTATAATCAAATACCTACTATACATGTGTTATGACTATTAAGTGCCCTTGTGATTAAATCAAGAGCTAATTATTTTATCAATAAAGTTGTTTATTAAGCACCTAGTCTTTCCTGCTAAGGAATGACTAAGGAGTCTAAGAGAAAATTAAAAAGGCAGCTAAATAAATTTCAAAACTACATAAAGAATGAAGCAAATTCAGATGACATGATATAGAGAGAAACGGCCCACCTCTCTTCCAAATGTTAATTGGCAGCCGTCGTATTGAACAATTTATTATCATCACCATATCTGGTAATATCAGATGAAATATACTACCATTTCACAAGCAGCAGGAGGAGACACACACTAGAAAGAGGATAAGATGTATAGAGCTCTACCTTTCTGAGTTTTACTTTCACCATCATAAAATGAAATGGTTGGATTAGTTTATCTCTAGGTACTTTGTGCTTCTACTCATATTTTCATTTTCATATAGAAAATGAAATCTTTTCATACAGTTCCCAGTGTACCCGGGGAATACAGGAGCAGACTGCCTATGTTGAAACCATCGTATTTCTACCAGAAGTATAATTTCAGTAACCTAACATTAATACAAACCTACAAATCATTCCCCTCCATGATCTCAGGGTAGAATGCTCCAATTAACCTCTAAACTGGAGAAAATCCATAGTAAAAGAAAAAAATGCTAAAAATACCAGGTAACTGACACTCCTTTGCCTAAATATGCATAACCCATTTTTCCACTGAAAGCTTTAAAAACGACTGAACTGAATGGAAATGTAAAATGTTGAAAACATCATTAAAAATCTAAATTTGTCGATGTATTATACTTTCACTTCACTTCATTTGTTAATACTCTGTTCTTAAACAGTGCTTACACTTAATTTTAAAAATAACTTGGAAAAAAACATATTTAAACTAAGTTCATACAAAGATAGTTTCCTATCACTATAATCATTAATTGGCAAACAGGGTTTACCTCCCACTGTCCTCATATTCTTAATAGTTTTTTTTACATGTCTTTCTTACACCTTCCCTTTCAAAAGATTTAAAAAACCCAGAAGGTCATTTTTATGTTTTTACAAAGACACCTAACATCTCATGAAGCCTTTCTGTCTTCAACTTAAAACTATCTCTGAGATTGCCTGCAGCCCTCACGTTCCGAGGGCAGGAGTGGATGAGCCACGCAGGCCTGGTTTCCACCCTTGCTGTGCCACTCACAACCTAACAGTTTACACTCAGAGAACCTAAGGAACCTCTGAACTGTCCTTCCCTCATCTAGAAAATGGGGATGATAAATGATAATACCAGCGTCACAAGACAGTTGTGTACAGTCAATAAAATTATGTTTGTAAAACACCTCTTATATAGCACACATTCAAAAAGTAGTTGCTATCGTTACCACAAAACCAAGTTCAAGTAATTAAGTGTAAGATATTTCAAGTATTCAGACCTTAGATTATTATCCAGACTACTTCTAAAAGTATTACAATTTTGTCAACATTGATAATTATTTTGAAAACTTTTGTTTTAAGTAACATATTGAAACTAATTTTTTTAATTTGGAGATTTTTCTTATGCGTTAAATAAACAGTCCAGCTTCGGTGTATGTGATTGGCTGGGTTCATTTTTCACCTGCCAATCTTGATCTCTGGCCTATTTTAGACAAAGTTTTAGTGACAACTGGAGATGAAAAGCCTTTTGTGAGATTTGCTTTCAAACTTAGATTACAATGGGAGTAAAATCTCATTTCTTACCAGGTAATTGTGGGTAAATTTTTTCAACCATATATTCTCTTAAATTCCTTGGCAAATCTCCATGAACATCAACAAGTACTCGAGTTTTATTAGATGAAATCTGGTAGACGAGAACTGGACTTGGATTAACTAAAAGAAGTTCAGCATGATTTTCTTTAAATTGTGGTGCATTCTAGAAAAAATAAAATATTTTCAGAATTTTCAAGTTTCAAGTTGCTTTTATTTTTCCTACAATTATACTCCTACTGTACCTCCATCAGAAAGCCGACAAAATGAGACGTAACAGAAACTTTACTGGAGATCAGGTTTTTCCTGAACTTGGAAAAAATTCCATCTGCAACAACAGTCAATGGAGCATGGAGTTCCTGTAACAAAAGATTAAGAATACTCAGCCAAATGCTTAGAAAATACACAGTAAAAGACCATTCTTTTAAAATGTGCATGAAAAAATTTAAATATATTCCCAGGTAACATTACACACAGTATTTCAAAATAATGCTATTGAGAAAGCTGTTATGTGCGGGCTTCAGTTAGTGCCTGCCTAATCTTTAGAGACACTCCCTCTGAGCAACTGAGGATCACCTTCCTCTGAAGCTCTACCATCCAATCCATCTGGGATTAAGTTCCTCTTTGATAAACAATGGAGAAACCGGCAAAGCTGGACAAGGTGAAATCTCATAACAAATTCCAAGGATTAGCCAAATTCTTTTATTCTAGAATTTCCTAACTTTATATAGTACTTCCAGTCATGGCTAAGACTTTGAAAAATTTTTGTTCACGTGGGTGCACGTATGTATTTATATTACCTGCAATCACCCTCAGGAGAGTACAAATTCTGGGAGGTGGCCAGCCCCCAGAGCAGCCTCAGTAACATACTGAAACTAATTTTTTTAATTTGGAGACTCTTCTTATCTCCAGATAAGAAAGCAACTACAGATTAGCCTTTGCCTCTTTCTCTTCCGTTCCTGGAAGCTGTTTTATTCTACTATTTCCTGAGACTCTCTTACTTTTGCCTTTCTTATTTAAAAGACAATGTCTTGCCATCTGAAATCCGTCCTGTTGCACAGGACTTACAAAGAACTCAGTCCACTTGTTGAAAAATAAATTGGTGAGCCTCCTTTGTTTAAAGGAGTAGGAGAAAAAGAGAACAATCTCTTAGGAGAAACTAACCCTGGAGCTCCCGCCTCACCTTGATGTCTCCAGTTTCTTTGTCTCTGTACTGAACTCCAACCACGGCATCACCTTCTTCTAATAACTGCAGCACAACACCCTCAATAAACTTTGTACTAAAAGACAAACAGAAATAAATTCTATAGTAGCACACTTGAGCAACATAAATAAGGAATCATAAATTCCTTATCCCTCATCCCCAGTTTTTACATGTAAACAAGCATGCATGTGGGTGCATATACACATATACACCGAGAACGGTGTGGAATGACGAGGTAAAAACATCAATAGTGGTTTTTAGAATTACGTGTGGGTTTTATTACCTAATTTTTAAATTAATTATACATTAATTTAAAAGGTAATGATTTAAATAGTATTTTTAAAAATAACTTTAGATTTTTATCTCAATTCACTAAAACATAAAATACATACACAAGAAGTTAACATACCCCCAACCAATTCGTACACAGATGGGGAAACAGAATTGACATTTATCCAGCAAATTATTCAGAGTGGTTAATTCTAGTCAGAAAGGTCATGAATAATTTTTTAAATCTTCTTTATATTTGGAGGTATTTTCTACCATAAACATATTCTACTTCCATAGATGTCAAATCCTTCTAGTCCTAAGGATGAGTTCACTTCGTCAACACTTAAGCCTGTGCCGATGACACAAGGGTTCTCATATTTAAACATTCCTCAATCCCAATGTTGAAAGGCTAGAGGCAAGTACACGTTAATACATAAGAGAAGAAGCCAGTCTTGTCCGACTGGGTCCGTCCCAAGGATGGAACAGGGATTTTCCCTTGAAGGCCTCTGTCCTGACCTTTAGTAGGAAGAACCAAAGCCCCAAACCCAAACTCCCAAATGGGCACATGTGGACTTACATCTTAGTTATAGCAACTATATCCTCTAAATTCAACCTCATAGAAATCACAGAATTTAGTCAAAGGAAAATTCTCAATAGTTCCATGTCATTCCAAAAAAAATTCTCTATATAATGTTCTTAATAAAGGCACTGGTTTCTTTTAGCATAAGGCATATGGTCTAGCCTATAGCTAACCACATAAACACTTACAAAAACAGTAATTCTTTAACATGATACACTTGCAGCCACAGCCTTACTTGGGCTCTGCCATAGCTGCTGTCCGGAGACTCATGATGAATCTTCCGTGATGGAAGGCTCTTCCACTCTGCACTTGGTTGTTTTCTAACAGAGGGTAGGGGATATGAACATCTGACTTGCTTTCCCAATCATGAATTACGTAGCCATTCATTACCTGGGCATCAATACCTTCCACTGTATCTGCAAAACAATTTGGTTCAAAAAAATCAACTTTGTTAATATGCCCAGAGTTACACCAGGCACAAAGAAGACATGGAGGCATGGAATGAGTCAGTCTTCAAAAAGGTAGGATGCCATTTGGAGAACTGGACACTACTTTAACTATTTCAGAAATTTTAATGCTTCTGGAAGATGATTATCTTATTAGCATACTTACAACCAAAGACTAATATTTATATATCAAACTTAAACATTAAAAATATTAAAACCCCCAAAACAATGAGGTTTTAAACAATGTAGGAACACTAAACAAATCATGAAAAATGTTCAAACCTTGATTTTAAAAAATGAATGAAATATAATTAAAACAATTAAGATACCAAATCAATCAAAGCTGCTGGTGAAATCACATAAAATTGATAAATTTATAGTATTGGTCATGCTATAAACTATAACACTTTAGAAAGTAACTAAAACAATAATTATCAAGAACCATGAAGAAGTTATTAGCATCCACTGATGTAATAATCTTAGTTTTGAAAATTCATCTAAGAAATTCACTCTAAAGATGTAATTTTTAATAATTTTAAAGTTATATACAAGAATAGTGTTATCGCTAAAAAGAAAAACAAAATAATCTAAATATTAATGTAAGTTAGAAAGGTAAGGTACATTATGTAGTATCAATTGAGGAAATGTTACGCATAGGCTTACAATTAGTTACAAAAGAATGGTTAACAGTAGTAAAAATATACATAGGTTTAAGTGGAAAAGTTGAATTTAGCAGGTATATTAATATTATCACATACTATATGTTCAAATACATTAAAATACAATATATTAAGATAAAGCACATTAAAATAATTTAATTTTTAATTTAATTTTTTAAATTTATGTTTAGAAAAAGGGTAAGGGAGGGAGAAAGAGAGGGAGAAAAACACCAATGTGTGAGAGAAGTATCTATCAAGTTGCCTCTCGCATGTCCCCAACTGGGGACCTGGCCCACAACCCAGGCTTGTGTCCTGCCCAGGAATCCAACCAGCAGCCTTTCAGTTTGCAGGCTGGCATTCGATCCACTGAGCCACACCAGCCAGGGCAAAAAATAATTTCATTCATTTCCAATGAAAGAAAAACATATCACACATCTATGCTGAGATAAAAATATCTCAGCATAGCTGAGTTAGTTTTATGATATGCTTTTTAATTCGAGTGACTTTTATAAATTGAAAATAAAATGGAAAACCTTTTTACCAGTGGTAGATAAGAGAGTCTAGAGTGAACAGTGCTTACTTACAGCACATAACTCCTAAACACCAATATGAACCTACCTCCAAGACCAAGGTCTTGAAGCACACGATAACCACCTGGCTGCAGATACTCTCCAACTATCCTGTCGGGCTCTTGTAAATCCCTCTCAATTACTGTCACCTTTCTTCCATCTCTGGAGAGCACTGCTGCCAAAGCAGAGCCAAGTATCCCAGATCCCACAATGATCACTTCCGGATCACGTGGAGAAGAGATCGATGTTGAGGCAGCTGCTCCTATTAAGGTGCCTTCTGAAATGCTGGTTAGTTTTTCGCACTGTTCAAAAAAGAAAGAAAAGTATGTATCCACATTTGTTAACCTTAAATCATTCTGCTATACAGATAGACACTGGACTTTTGCATCTTGGGCAAAAGCTACACTGTAAACATTACCAAACCAAATGCACTATTACATTTTTAAATCCTGATCATATGTAAAAAACCAATAATATCAAAAGGTTGGAGAAATAAAAATTTATAATAACCCAACAAAATTAAGTGTATATTTCTTTCCAGACATGGTACTTAGAAAATGATGTGATGTAGACATATTTAGAAATGCACACCAAGCCAAATATTTAAAAAATGTTTATAAGTGGCTTCAGACTTCTTATACAGAAAATTGTACCATTATTCAATTCTTCAAACATACACTGAGCATTTACCAAACACAAATGACATACAACTTCCAGTTTGACTTCATGCTGCAAATATTCAGCACCTTTTATATATTTCCACTATTTCTTTATTTTTTCCTCCTGGATTATCATCTGAAAAGTCTACCTTCACCTAAAATCACTTTTCTGTAACTGTCAAATCCTGGCTACTCATGTACTAACAGAGAATTACTTAACTCTACAAAATTCCAAAAAGAATAACTCATTGTCCCTTGGAACTTGACCTGATCACAATTTTAATCCGTAACATATAAGAACACATTTACTTTAACCCTTCTTCTTCCCCTATTTGAATACTTTAAGAGAACCTGGTCAATGATGTGAAGTCGGTCCTCCAACTTACAAACAAGGACAAACATTAAACCTATCACTAATTGGGTTGACAGTAAAATCTTTAACTTTGAACAACAGATGAAAAAGTCCTGTTTAGAGAGTTTTATACCCACTGAGAATAACACTAATTGGTTTGGGTTTTTTTTAATGAACAATTCAATATCGTAATAATTTTTCTTTTCATTTTTGGGGAGAGGCATGTGCATTCACAAATATGAACACAGTTCAGACAGAGGATTGTATGGAACCATATTCCTTGAGCTCTCGGACCTTAAGTATTAAGATACAAGTAAATGCCATTTTGAAGTGGTTTTAATTAAAGAGACTTCAGGCAGAAAGGAGACAACCCCTGCAAATCCTTCAGAACTTTAGTTCTCTGACATTCTAACATTCACCTGGCCTTCCTATATATATTTCCACAATGGAGTGGGGCCACGTTCATTCCATTTTTCATAGTTTTTCTGAAAGAAATTACCTTTTTGTTCTTTACCAAGGGAGGACAATAGTCTACTCTTCCATCAGTATAGTATTTCTTAATGGCCAGAATAACAGAGTATATTGAAAATATTGTTCTAAGAGAAAGATAAGCTCCTTTTGTCTCTTAACCATTATTTATTAGTTTTTCTTCTGAGAGTTTCCCTGTTAAGCATACGCAGGCAATCCTGGAACGGGGACTCTGGAGGAAGTCAGAACCCGGTCAGGAGAAGAAGCGCTAATGGGAACTCAGTACTCAATACAAAGCAAAAAGCCTGGCACGTTCACAGTGGAACCAATATTGACTGCTGCTAACCAATGCTCCCACCCCAAGACTGGTCTACACAGCATGATGTAACGTCAGTCCTGCCACCTGGACAAGTGATTGCCCACTGACCCCGAGGGAAGTTATCTCAAGTCAACGGCGTCAAACATTTCAAACTGAGAATCAAATCTTCACCCTCCCTCCTCTCCCATTCCTCCAGCCCACACCCACCGTGACACTGAACTTAGCACCACTCTAAAGGCTCCTAACAGGCAAGCATTAAATCGGTAAGGCTGCTGGTGCCCCCATCTAACAGAGGAGATAACTGATTAATTTGCCAAAGGTCTCACAGGCAGAAGGGGCGGAACATAACTTGTAGACCAAGGCCCTCTCTTCAGTAAGCCTTCAGTACTCACCTGTACTGTGACTGTAAGTAAAACAATGCTGATCCAGAACCCTGACTTTGTAGGCCACTCACCCCGACTCCAAGTCACCATCAACCCTCCTCACCTGGTCGACAGCAGCAATCTCTTATCTGATAGCCTTGCTTCCTGTCTTGTCTCCCTACAATCTACTCTTCACACAGCAATTAGAATGTTCTTTTTTGAAAGCCAAAATCAAATACTGATACTCCCATGCTTAAAATCCTCCAGTGCTCTTGGGAAAAAGTCCCACAGGTCTCAACCACCTCTCCCCCCTCATCTCCCTCACTGTCCTCCTCTGCTGCCTGGAATGGTCACGATGACCTCACGGGTATTGGAAGCCCCCGCCTTTGATCTGGAAAAGGGACTGCACGCTGGACAACGCTCACTTACTTACAGTCAACATGTTGGGTTGACAGTAAAAAACAAAACTTTAACTTTGAACATAAGAAGATGGGAAAATCCTGTTTTGAAAGATTTATGTCCACTGAGAATAACAGTGATTGGTTTGGGTTTTTTTTTAATGAACAATCCAATGTTGTAATCCGTAATTTTCCTTTTCTTTCTTTTTTTGGTGTGTGGATTCACAAATATGGATACATTTCAGATGGAGAGAGGACATCCCTTCACTGATTTACTCAAGGCCCCACTGATGTGGGAAGAGCTGTTCTGTCCCTGGCTGTAAAATGCTGAGCATTTTCACCCTGTCACTTTTTCGAATTGTTCTGCCACTTTCTCCAGACAGCTGGCAAGTTTGGACAGAAGCAGGGCTTACCTGCCGCAGGCTTCCTTCTTCCCAAGTACAAACAGCAGCCTTACCCAAGGATTTGAAAACATTTTTCTCTCCATCACCAAGACTGATTCTGCCTGCTTTCAAAATGAAACTCTAACTAATTTTATTTCACCTTTCAGAATCATTTAGCCTTGGCTCAACCTATGCTAAATGAAACGAATGTTTTTAAATCAATAGTAAGAGTCCCATTTTAGGGGGGCAAAAAAATTCAATGAGAATCCATACCGAGAATCTAAGCGGCTGCCTTTTTCCCCTTAAAGGGGAAAATCATTATGTGGGTGGCCACGATCCTCATTTTAAAACAAGACACCCACTCCTTGGACCAGTACGAATTCAACCTACCTTCCCAGACCCGAGCTGCTCTTTATTTTCGGCCCCAGGAGGGGGATTGGCCCAGAAGAAGCCAATCAAAGGCAAGGCAGACAGGACACCCGAGAGGGCGGCGAGCAGGGGCCCGCTGGGCGTGCGCCTCGCCAGCACCCCGCTTCGGAAGCGGTAGGACAGCACCAGGCCCAGCGACAGGAACACCAGCACGCACAGCAGGAGCTCCTTGTTGGCCAACGTAACGAAGTCCCCGCATTTCTTATAGAAATACGTGAAAGTGGCAAGACCAAGAAAGGTCCACATGGTTCAAAGGCCCCTTTGGTGGCACCGGTCGACGCTGAGTTCTTTTTTTTTTTTCCCTTGTAGGGTTTTGATGGTTAGAAATCGTCCCCAAAATGTGTTTCCAGAAGCAGCACCGGGAACCTGCCCGGCTCCAGTTAACACCGTCACCGGATCACAGTTCAAAGCAGGCCAATTTAGAAAATCATACAGTTAGTATAAAAATGTCTGGAGGGGGCCAGTTAGGACCTAGAAAGCAGTATTTCAAAAGCTCCAACAGCTCCCGATTCAGACTCTCTCCTTTTTCGGGCAATCCATTTATTTTTCTTTTTCTCTTCCTTTCTTTCTTCCTAAAATGGCTTTTTTTCCTGGTGGTTGTTACCGGGGTTTTCAATTCTGACGTTGGTTCATCGTGATGTAAAATTGTTCTCTCTCAACAGCAGCAGGTGCCCTTTCAGAGACAGATGGGGTGGGGGGAGATGAAAGAAATATCTTAATGCCCCGGAAAACGCGGCCGCCTCTTCCGACAGCGACGGCCTGCACCCGCGCAGTCGGGTTTCTCTCCCCACCCACGCAGCCCACGGTCAAGGGGAACCTGCCGGCTTCCGGGCGGAGAAGGGCAGCCCCTACCTCGATACCTTCTCCTCCGCAGCACCTCCCGACACAACCGCCGCCTAACCTCCAGTCCGCGACTTCGTTTCCCCGCTGATGAATGCGGGTCTCCGCACAGCTCCCCTCAGAGGACCGCGGCAGAGTCTCCCCACGGCGTCCCCCCCAGCATCTCTCCCGCGGAGCTCGGGCAGTAACCAGAGCAACCGTCCCACGCCTTTTGCCTCTCAACTCGGCCCTCCGCGCTCAGCGCCCAGAGATCAGTACAGAGGGGAAGGGCCAGTGGGCGGGGCTCCAGAAAACGAGCCCGCCCCGCCCAGAGTGCCTTCTGAGCAGGCCCCGCCCACCTTTGCCAGCGGCCAATGAGAGTGCATACACGCGGTAGGCCGAGGTGGCGCTATGGCGCGTTTGGCCAATCGCGGCTGGTGCGGCCCTCGCAGTGACGTACGAGAGGCGCTAGGGCGATATTTCGTTGTATGGGGCGGAGGTGTGGGGACGGATGGGCTGCGTGGTGGGCGGTTGGGAAGGCACTGAGGGCTACGGAGGAAGGGGTCTTGCCCTGGGTACCAGGTTAATTTACTGAGGTTAGCCCTGTTATGAGGGTAGGTTCGTGGTACAGTATTTCACATAAGTCAGTGGAGCAACTCTGTGCTAACTGCCAGCTGGGCAGCACAGCGCCAAGGAAAATATTAAGATATGCACACAGTAACTATGCTATTCACTCATCTTTTATTGACTGCGGGTTACTCAAAGCAGAACATCAACATGCATTAATAACCTAGTCTTTAACAATGTAAGAGAAATGTACACGCAGCAATTAGTGGGGGAAAACGAACCAGAGACCCAGAGTCCCAGTCTGCAGGTCTGGGAGACAACATAGTGGGCAAGGGAGTTGTCAGCAGCAGCTTGCAAAGAAGGATCTCCAGAGCTGGGTGGGCAGCAGGGCAGCCAAAGTCCTCGGTTCAGCAGGGCAGAGCCTCCGGGGCTGATGCCAAGGGAGATGAGCGTGGCATGGAGCAGAACTCTGGTGTGTGGAGATCAGCTGTCTCAGCAGTGGTCTGGAGCCTGCCTCACTTATACCTTGAGAATGGTGTACTCCACCCTTCTGGGTCTTTTTGGATAAATGTCTTGGCACCCCTGATGACAAGTGGGGAATTTCCACAGGAACTTAACTATGGGTGGTCCTGTTCTGCAGGCATGGCTGTTCCCATCACCTGTGCAGATATCTTGTGTGTCTCCTTGCCAGATGGGTCTGCTCTGACTTAGGCAGTTTCCCTCTTGAAGTGTCATGGCTGACTGACAGCCATTTTGGTTGACATGAGTGACTCTATTTTAGTTTTATATACTTTATACTATCTTGACTGGACCAATGCCATTTTATTGGTCCTGTTCTCCACCAGCCCCAGCCACTGGGGTCTTATTTGGGAAAAGAGAAGTCCATTCTGAGGAAATTCCTGCCTGGAGATCTCCCGCCCAAAGTCTGAATGTTTTCATTCATTCCACAAGCATTTGTTGAGCTTACTACCTGCCAGCTGAGTGGTTATAGAGCTGAATCAGATACCATCTTTCTGTCCTGTGCCCAGTGTGTGTAGATGGTAGGAGGGGCTGGAGGACGTGACTTGCAGAGGATATGACTTTCAACCAGAATGTGGAAGAACAAGTAAGTGAGGATATGCCAGCTGTTCCTTTCACCCAAAACTGTCAGCTAAGACTTTTCACTGGGTTCAGGCTGAAGATACACTGATACACCTAGTCCCTATTCTCTCAAAAATGTGGGGAGGAGGGCATGGGGAAATTTCATTTTGGGCAAATTGTGTTCAGAAACTCAGATTATCTTTTCCAGACATTTATTTCACATAGGTTCACTGTGGGAATTATAAAATTTCCCACAAGCCAACAGCATGTACGGTATCTCTTAGTTGTAAATAACATTACAAACCAATGATTAATTATACTGTTATTCCAGGAACAGGGGAGATAAAAGTACAAATTTAGTGAAGTATTGCTTTCTACATGTTTGTTCTCCACAGAATCAGTTCTTCCAACTAAAAGCTTGGTATGAGCTGCCAGCTTAGGTCCCTCTCAGTGCTTGGGAAAATAACTAGCAGGGTATGGCACCGGTATTGGGAGGCACCGTAGGCTGCTCCTGATGTTATTAATTCTAGGGACCTGTACACGGTTTTCCCCATTGTCTTCAAAGAATAGCCTCACCCAAACAAGAACAGATGTCCCTTCTCCTCCTGACACTGCTGCACAGTGTAACCCCCCTGCCACTGCCAACGAAGGGTAGCCCGACCACAGCCTGGAGCAAGTGTCTCAAGATCTTTGGAAAGCTATTTAGTTAGATCAGCAAAGAGTAGCCTTGCCCAGACCAAACACTCTCAGTAAGTCTTCATAAATTCTTGGTATTTGAGGTTTAACTATTAACACATTTGGAGCATCTGAGTGGCCCAGTGTAATCATAAGGGTCCTTAAAAGTGGAAGAAGGAGTCAGAAGAGGGAGAGCCAGAGAAATGAATTCAGCCCGACAATGCCTGTCTTTGATGTGGCCAGGACCAGGGCCAGGAGGCAAGAAATGTGAGAGGCCTCCGCAGTTGCAAAACCTCCCACAGGGTCTCCAGACACCTTGATTCTATCCCAGTGAGGTCCATTTTAGAGTTCTAAGCCTCTAGAATTGTAAGATAATAAATTTTTATTGTTTTTAAAATAGCCACACCCCCATGCACAGTATCACATGATTGTGTCTCCTCCACATGCTCTCTCTCTCTTTTTTAAAGATTCTATTTATTTACTTTTAGAGAGGGGAAGATAGGAAGAAGAGGGAGAAGAACACCAATATGTGGACGGTCACCTCTCTCACGCCCCCCGCACTGGGGACTCGGTCCACAAGCCAAGCATGTGCCCTAAACTGGGGATCAAACTGGCGGCTCCCTGGCTCACAGGCCAGCAGTCAATCCACTGGGCCACACCAGCCAGGGCATCCTCCGCATTATAGAGCAGGCCCCAGCAGTGCCAGTCAACAGCTGTCATGACATCCTGGCACTACTTCCTTAATTTAAACAAAATTCACCTTTGGGTCAAAGCAACTTAAGTCATAAACAAGTTCATTTGAAATCATAAAAACCAATACACAACAGGGACAATGAAGTAAAACAAAGAGAGGTGTGTCATAAGCTCCCTGAGAGAGCGAACAAGGAACCTGTGGAAGCAGGAGGCAGCCTTTCACAGGCCTGGAGGGAGTCAGGCAAGGCCTCCACAGGAAGTTAAACATGAACTCTGTTCAGGACAAGCACTCTAACGAGAACAACAGTGTGCAAGAGTCAGTGTGAGAGATGGCCCTTGTAATGAAAGGATGAAACGTTTCTAGAATTTAATGAGGCCTAGGTAAGCACCTTCACTCAACCACATGAGTATGTACAAATCCTTTCTGCCATTTGGAGTACAGCTGAATTTTCACCTTTTCCACCGAGTCTCCACAGATCCTCACCAAGTCACCTAAGTTCATTCATACCTTACTGTTCCAACTCTGACTGTACACTTGTAGTTAGGTTTACCATCCCAGAAGGGAGGGCTCTGTATGATCAGAATCACCCGCAGCACCTACCAAAATGCTTTACACTTAATTTATCCTCCATAACGATGTATTGAATGAATGAATGAATGAATGAATGAATGATGCATGATGAATGACTGGTGTAGTAGGAAGACTAGGTGATTAAAATCAGGAGATCTAAATTCTGGCTGCCACTAACCAGCTCTGTCACCTTGGACAAGTCAAAAGTCAGTCACCCTCTGCAGGGAGAAACATCTATCTTCAGAAAATCTGAAGTTCCTTGCAATCGTGTGCCAGGCACATTGCTGAGTATAAAGAAGTATGGCACCAGCCAGCATATTGAAACCGGGAAAATGACCTGTACCCAGGTCCAGAGTGCCTGTGGCTACAAAAGCCAAACCCGAGACACAGGTGCTGAGGTGGGGAAAAGAAATTTATTCCAATTGCCAGCAATCTGGAAGATGGGGAACTTGTCTTGCAAAAGCCCGTCTTAAAACTTTAGTGCAAGTGGAGATTTTTATAAAGATGTACAGCTTTTCCCTTAGAGGGAAAGCAGAACAAAGAGATCGGAGAAAGATGAATGCCAAGTGCTGCTTCTCCTGAGAAGGGGGAGTACAAAGGGAGGGGACTTCCTCCTCCTGTCTCAATGTTCTCTCTTCAAACAAAAATTTGTAGATTTATTGCAGGCACCTGTGGATGTTCACAGCTGGTGCCAAGCAGTCCTTTCTCCCCCAAAATAGACTTCTCTAAACTGTCAAAGGCTAGATAAGGGGTGAAAACACAGGGTTTTATTTACATACTCCAAGAAAGTGATATGGGAATCTTTGAAAAACTTTTGTTTAACCTTTATTTGCCCAGGCCCCAGGCACCCTGGGGAGAATGATGGGGCTGTCTGGGATAAGTAAACAACGGTGCATTAGCTAGGACTGAGATTAACACCCCTGCTGTTAAAAAGTGACTTTCGAATTTAGCCTTTGTACTTCACTTTTGCCTCGTAGCTAGTACTAACTTCCGCATTCCTGCTTCTGTATCTTGCTTTACTGCCCCAAAGGCCATATAAACCCCAAGAATCCTTTGTTCGGGGCTCAGAATTTGGAGACTAACTCTTTTGGGCCTGTGCACGTTAATAAACCTCGTACTCCAGAAACCCTCGGTGTCTGGTTGCTTCATTTTCTTGCAACATTTGGTGCATTGGCCGGGCAGCAACCTTACACAAATTCGGGTCAACTTGCCACCGGCTGGATAAGCGAGTGGTGGCCAGAGTTCCAACTGGAGAAACGAAGGTGCACGTGCCCTGAGATTTTTCAGACCCCATCCGATTGGGGCCCTCGGCCGCCGGCCAGCACTCCAGATGAGGGTTTTGGACTACGACCTGACCTGAGACAGGGGCGCCAAATCGGTAAGACCCTCGGACCTGACCCGAGACCGGACAGAGGCTGATCTCCCCAAATCAGAAATCTGGGTCGGGTTCATGCTGAGCCCGGCTGCCTGACCCTCACTCGGGTAGGGATCTGGGTCGAATTCATCTGGGTCGAATTCATCTGAGTTCGGCCACCAGCTAGCTGGTTCGAGTCCAGCCACCAGGAACTAGGTGAGAGGGATTGTTTAAATTCGGAGTGCTTGAGAGTGAAAGTGGGAGTGAATGTGCCCCTGTCCTTTGTGTGTCCGCACCAAATCTTGGGACTGGGCGGGTAAGTGCATATCCAGCGCTCCGA